ATCTTGGTCTTCTGGTGGTTGCGGCCACAGACCTTCGGGCTTCCAAAGGAATTTCGGCCCCTTGAACCTTCTACGAACTCTTTGGCAGTGATAACACGCGAGGCATCGTCTCCACTGGCTGGGGGAGGTCTGATCTCTAATTTGCTGGACGCGGTTGGTTACGAATACATGAAATCTCTTCGAGTCATTCTTTATGTAGCCTAAAACTACTTTACTATCCGTCCAGAAGATCTCTTGCACGCCTTCGTACTGGAGCTCTTGACGAAGCATCTCACTAACTCTGACTAACACCACTGCTGCGGTGAGTTCTAGACGTGGTATGGTGACCATCTTTAAGGGGGCTACGCTTGCCTTGCCAAGGACCAGCGAACAGTGGATCTTGCCTTTGTCGTTCTCTAAGCGAATGTAAGAACACTGACCATAGGCATTTGTGCTCGCGTCGGAGAAGTGGTGCAGCTGGGCAGATGTTACAGTTCCAAAATCTTCCGGTTGAAAGCATCTGGGAACTGCCAGATTCTCCAAAAAGGTGTAGTTCCTCTCTCCATCTCAGCCAGCATTCCCTAACATTCTCAGGGATTGGATCGTCCCAATCCACTTTGCCTTTGCAGAGCTCTTGGAGAAGCCGTTTCCCTACCAGGAGTAGAGGTGCCAAGAAGCCTAATGGATCATAAACGGTGCTGACTGTGGAAAGGATTCCTCGCCGAGTCAAAGGGCGATCGTGCACTACAATATGGAACTTGAAGCAGTCTGACTCGATACACCAACTGATGCCCAGCGCCCTTTCTATTGGAAGCTCGTCCTTTTCTAGATTTAACTCCTTAATGCCCTTGGCACGATCTTCTGTTGGTATGGCCTCGATAACTTCTCGCTTGTTGCTTGTAAATTTGTGAAGGTTGAATCCTCCACGGTGACACATCTCTTTAGTCTTGCTGATTAGTTTCTTTGCGTCCCTTGCAGTGGCTACAGATTTAAGGCCATCGTCGACTTAAAAATCTCTTCTTAGAAACTCCGCTGGTTCTGAACCTAATTCCTTCTCATAGTCTTCAGCCGTCTTCTTCAAGGCGAAATTACAACAACCAGGCGACGACCCTGCCCCGAAAAGGTGAGCTGTCATCCTGTATGTTGAGAGCTGCTGATCTAGGTTGCCGTTCTCCCACCACAGGAAGCGCAGTAGGCCTCGATAACATTCAGTGACATGAACTTGCAGAAACATTGCTTCAATGTCTGCCATGAACGCAACGGGTTCCTGTCTGAACCTTGATAGTACTCCCACCAACTTGTTAGTGAGGTCCGGGCCTTGAAGAAGATGCTTGATGAGAGCTTCACCCTTGTACTCTGCTGAGCAGTCGAAAACGACACGGATCTTGTCTCGTTTTTGAGGGTGGTAGACTCCATGGTGTGGGAGGTACCATATCCTTCCATCTTGCCTTGTTTCCTCGAGTGACGATATCTTCTCAGCGTATCCCTTCCTTATCATGTCGTTCATGAACGCTGTGTATTCTTTCTTGTACTTCTCCTCTCGACCAAATCTTAGCTTGAGGTGTTGGAGGCGATGAAATGCGAGCTTCTTGTTGTTGGGGAGGGCCAAGGATTCATCTCGACGTGGCAGTGGTAGCTCATAGTGACTATCTGGGGGGTGATGAATTCCTTCTGTGACCTTTGCCATAAACCTTCGGTCGTCCATCGAGAGGGACTGTCCAGTTGCGTCCTTAACTTCGTTGAAGTCCAACTCGAACATTCTCTTGACAGCTGCAGGCGAGATAATCTCCTTTGCGTAAGTTTCAATAACGAAGTTATGGGATGATGGTTCCTTGCTACCGATCTCCTTAACAGCGACTCTGTGGCACAGGACATCTGAATTTTCCTTGTTAGAACCTCCTGATATTGGGCCTATAATACCCCATCCAAGAAGTGTTCGAATGGCATAAGGATCACTGCTTCTCCCAGGGATAACTTCCTTTAGCTTGATGGCGCTTGGGCAATTTGATCCCTACTTCTACATTTACTTGGTATGTTTAAAGCTTACTGGCTATGCCACTTAGGTGGGGCCACACTTTTGCAGTTTCTGGTCGTGGGATTTCTTCTCTCTTCGTCGGTATGTCATCTCTTGTATATGTTTTGGGCAGTTTCACACGGGCGTCCTTGCCCATACTTTCGACATTCAAACCAGTAATTCTTCGGGTGGGAACTACTTCTGACCCAAGCATCGTGTTCAGCTGCAGTTGGGTTTCTGTGACATCGACTTGAAGGTCTTGAAGTATGCTTTCCTTGATGAATGTGCCATTACTGGCGGGATCAAGTAAGGCATAGACCACTACCTGCCGTTCGGGATTGATTCTATGATGTACACGGACGGGGATAATCATTGAGTTTGTGATAGCGTCGATGGCTCCGGTTGCATTGCATGTACTTATGCAGCTGCTTGTGGCTTCTTCTGGCTGAGCAACTCTGGCAACTTGTTTACTTGCTGAGCCTTCATTAACCTTAAGGGTGCTCTTTGTTTCATCATGAAGGACCGTTGGATGGGGCATACTGCACGACTTGCACACCTTTCTGTTTCTGCATCGTTTAGAGACATGGCCAAGGCAAAGACAACCAAAGCACAGCCTAGCTTCTTGTACGAATAATCTTCTTTCTTCAATGGAAATTTGGACAGTTATCTAAATCGTGATTGTAACTGTTGCAGAATGGACACGAAGGAAATCGAGGTGGGGGTTTCTGGCCTTGAGGTGTGGCACTTGTAGAGAAGCTAGTTGCGCTCTTCTTTCCTCCTTTCCCGTTGTTTCTCCACATTGTGTTCTTGACGTTGCTACTGCTGTTACTTGCAGCCTCATTCTTTCTTGCTTCCTTGAGGGCGTCAGGTGAGAAAACGGGGTCTGAAGCCAATGCTGCCTCGTCCTTGACAAAATCAATCACGTCGTGAAAGGAAGCTAGTCTCTCCTCGTATCTTAACATCTTGTTGGCAAGGCAACACCATCTTATTCCAACGGTACTAGGCAGCTTTGAGGTTACCTTCCGCGGAGTATCTTCAGAGTTAAGGCCTTCCATGTACTTAAGGGTCTTCATTGCTTGTTCACAAAGAACCAGGAAATCTGAAAACTGCTGTAGACTAGCATCATCACCTTCCCTTATGGCTGGCCACGAATTAAGCTTTTCCATATAAACCTGTGCTACACGATAAGGGTGTCCGAATCTTTCTTTTAGCACCTTTCTTGCCTTCTCATAAGAATCTGTAGAGTCGAGAGTGATGAGACCTTTAATTGATTCTTTCGCGTCTCCAGCTGTGTACTGGTTTGGGTAATACAGCCTCTGCTTTGGATCGGTGACCCGACTCTCTATTAGGCTTTCAAAGGCGTTGATGAATGCCGCATAATCGAAGTAGTTTCCAGAGAAAACTGGGGGCCGCTGTACAGGAAGCAAGCTCATTTGCTGTTGTTCGGCTATCAGCTTTACCACAGAACTTAGCTCTTCTGTCTTGATGGGTGGTTCTGCTCCTGTATTCTCAACTGAAGGCGATTGAACAGCGTTGCCGCCTTTGCTTTGACTGGTATCCAGTTTTCTCAAAGGCACGAAAGTTGGAGCTCCTGCATTTAGGTTGTCTTCATACTTCGGTGTGTTCGATTCTACAGGTTCTATTTTAGGCGCCGGGTTTTGCGTAACATCTTGAATTAAGGTTTCGGATTTCAAGACCGCGGAAAAATTTTCTTCTTCTTCTTCGATTTTACGCATAGCCTCTTCTTCTGCCTTTGCTTTAGCAATTTCCTTTAGCATCACAAGCCTCTTATACTCCGCTTCTCTTTCCAGAAAATCCATTTCGACTTCGAGACATGCTGCTCGGGCAGCCGCTTTCGCTCTCTTTGATCTTATCGAAGACGACGAACGCTTAGACGACCTTGAAGAAACCAGAGACATCCGATCACTAATGTGCTTTACTTCATTTATTCTTGTTCGGCATTGAAAATACTCTCTATCTCGAGTGTCAAACCACTGCAATGCTTGAACTAACTCCTTTGAATCGCGTAGCTTGTTAAAATACCTTTGGTGAGCTTTATCCATTCTTTCTCTGTGCAAATCTAAAATGTCACGCCCTCGTTCTAAGGACGTAACATCTGTTTCTTAATGCTGTTCAAATAGAGAGTTCTCTTTCGTGATTTGTTTCCTCAGAGCAGCCCCTGCCGCCTTTCTTTCATCTTCGAGTCTTTGCAAGCGAAGAAACTCTCCTTTTTCCGTTGCGGTTCTTGATCGTTTTTTCTCTTTTTGAGGATTTTCACTTTGGTGATCGATGAACTCTTGCGTCATACCATCCCTTTGTTCCATTCTTCGCAATCGACTCTAACTTTCGATTCTTCACCGTAATTTTCACTGTAGCGGCACTTGTTTGCCGCTTAAAAACCGCGCAAGATTCACGGATAATACAAAAAATCTTGGCCAGGCTTAATCTGGAATTCCTGTTTACTTTATTGAATTGTAAATGGCTGGCTGCAAAGGGCCTATTCACCATTTTCACATAAACCAAAATGCACCTTGTTTGACAGCTAAAACGTTTGCATAAACATTGTCTTCGAATTCTCTTGTAACGACTGTAATACCCGGGAGAAATTGGAAACAATGGTTGTATAAAATTTTGGGGGGTAAACAAGGAGCATTGTGTTCTATGTGAAAATGGTGAATTTTTAAAATGACCAATAAATCGATAAATATTACCAGTTGTTTGCCTAGTTCGTCAAATTTCAATTTTGGGAAACTGACTTTAAGCAACAACAGTTCATGCTAACCAGGGCATGTTTAAATGACTTTAACTATATCGCTAGATGTAGTTGTATAGAAACAAGAGACAATGAGCAGGTAAGTTTTAATCGCTCCTTTACTTAAACCGTTATCAATATAATAATATTTGGAATTGCCAATTACCAGATAATTTCCAACGGGATGTTTGATTTTAGACTCAAAGATTATTCCCACAAATACATTGAAAATAAATTCCTTAATATCCTCGGTCGTCAAACTGGCCAGGGGAAAAACGCATTCTCCACATTTTGCAACATTTCTTCCAGCCCTTTGATTTCAGGGAATGCCCGGATAAGCACATTGCTCATATTTGCGTTTTGAATCCATTCAAGTCCCTCTTTGGTATAGATGTCTGAAGTGAAATCATCGGTCATAAACCTAAAGAAGAACATTAAAAGAATGAACCATTACGGTGGGCAATAAATGGGTACTAATAGCTCCTTTTAGGGACTTTTTTCCTTTCAATGGAGGAGGGAGGCTTCCTTTAAATGATCAAATATAGCCGGCGCTAAAACTGGTAGGCAATTTAGAAGCTTTGTCCAGCGAGGATTTGAACCCACGACTACAGAGAACAAACTCGGGGCCTCTTTTAAAACATTGCTCAGCCCCAATCATTGTACTTTGGTCTACAACCTATACAAACTCTTTTCTTGCACTACTGGCTATGATTTTTACGATTGTTTAAGCTTGTAGATTTTCATTTCTTAGTTCAATCTGCGATCTTCCAGGAATGAAAATTTGATTTTTATATTTCGCAAGGTGTTTGAAATTCTTTGAAATCGAGTCGTGTAGAAACCTAATCAATCAATCAATCAATCAATCAATCAATCAATCAATACTTCAGTCAGTCAGGTAGTCAATCAATCAATCAGTCAGTTAGTCGGCCGGTCAGTCAGTCAGTCCTTCCGTCAATCAATCAGTCAATCAATCAATCGAAAATCAATCAACCAACCAACCAATCAGTCAATCAGTAAATCAATCAACCAATCAATCAACCAACCTATCAATCAATCAATCAATCAATCAATCAATTAATCAATCAGTTAACCAATCAACGAGTCAATCAACTCACCTGTCAGTTTGTAGTCTTCTGCTGGCCATAAGAACGAATATATTAAACGCTGTTTCACCAAATCCATAACCGTCAGGCCGGGGCTCCTCTGCTAGGCAACCAATCAGGAGGTCTAATTTCTCAATGTCGTCGTCATACAGCTCCTTAAGCAGGCTGGAATGTTTCATGTTTGGCGTAAGCTTTTCAAAGGACTCTACAGGAGGAAGGTTTGTCAATCGTCTGACCTCATTATATCGTGGAATGCCACGTTCTCTATCGCGTAAAATGTCGATGGTTGCTAGGTCAATGGTCTGAAACGAAAGAGATATCTTTTTCCTAAGAAATTGTTTTTTCTTCATTACGTTGATCTTTTCCTCCACGGATACCTACAACCCCGGACAAAACTATTGAGACAATTCCATGTATTATTTCAATTTCGCGCCATGCTGCAATCTCTGCCATGCTGCAATCCCTCTAAACTGGACAAGGTCGCCCCCTCCCGGTCCCCTGTTCAAAGTTTTCCTGATCTAACAGCTCACGTGTGCATTTCTGGTGTTTTATTGGAATAGTGGAGGGGGGAAACGGTGCATCAGTTTGCGACGGTAAGCACTTTTGTCAGGGCGAGTGCAAAAATATGTTTTTGTAATGTGTCTCGACAGGTTTTGTCCCAGGTTAAAGCACTACAAGCTACTGAATTTCTCTGCCTTTCACTAAGGAGAGCCTCTGTGTAGGATGAAAGTGCTACTGGCCACACCAAAGTTCTGCGGTTCTTCAATTTATTTTATTAATCACTGTCTTCGGCCTGATGGAATTTTCCTGGATAATTTACGATACTGTGTTGGGGTTCTTTGCCAGATTGCTTGTGTCGCAGTCAATAGAAGGTTAGATTAGGAATGCCCCATTGTGAAAGTGAGATGAGAAATGTGACGCCAGGAGAGTTCACAGCGATAGCTTTAAATATCTCCGTCACGCCCCACAGAGTGAGATTAGATAAAGGCATTGCCAGAGGGTAATCGCTACGAAATCCAACTATTTTCAAATGTTTGGGCCAAGGGTTAAGTGCTTTCTTCTCCTTACCACCGGCTGGGAATCGAACCTGGACCCACAACTCCATAGAAAAGTATCCAGCCAATTAAGCTAGATGAGTGATCATGGAAGTAGCCCCCTCTCCCTACCATACTGGTTTTCTCACCTCTCCGTTCTGTTGATGCCTTGGCAACTTGAGGTTCATCAAGGCCTTTGGGTAGTTATGAAGAGTAAGCGCACCTGGATGCTCAACCCCGAATGTGTATACAACGTCATCCACACTGTGTTTCTTCACGATATCTCTAGCTCCTTTGAAAGAGTACTCAGAGAGAGAATATGACTTTCCAGTTCTTTGTCCAGTTTCAACCGAGCGCATGTACAGATCGTCTGGTAACAACGGATGCATGCGGTACACCGATACAAATTCTTCAGTCAGAGAGAAAGGGACCCCGTAAAACTTGCTTGGAGAGCCAACAAGTGGCTTCAACACCGCACCGCTCGCCCCAATACTTATATTGTGTGCCGCAAGCCAATCAAAAACCTCTTTCCCCGGGCTCACGCCAAAGTTCACATATACCCCTGCGCGCAGAGCACTGTTGTTTAGAATGGCTGGTGTCCATTCCACTGTGTGAATTTTCTGAATCGTAGCTGTGTTGATTAACCTGTATAGCAAAAAACGAAAGAGCGTAATCAAATTACTTAATCTTTTTTTCCCGCCTTTAGAGGTCTTGTGGGCTAGTCTTTCGTTCTTCCTTATTATTTTTTTTGACCAGACTTTGCAACTTCGGCATTTACTCGACGTAACGACCTAAATTGATCGATTTCGACGCATTGCCGACTGTATTGTTTTTAACACTGTTAGTGTAGTGGCACGAATTAGATGTTGTAGCCTTCCCTGGCAGTATTGGAAATAAAGGTCTGTATACAAGAGTGAATTCGCCGTTACTAAAGCAATGGAGTGGTTTACATGTCACTTCAGTTTTTTAAACTTTTTTTCAAAAAATTTAATCAATGAACTTTCAGTATTTACTCAGGCCCTGCCAAATCTTTAGTACTTTTTGTTAAGTTGAATTTTGGCAGCTCATCAAGCCTAATGCCAAAAGACTACCAAACTTATTCATGCCTAATATGGTTAATTCACACGTCGTTCTTTTCATTTAACAGTCAGTTACCTGGCAATGTCATACAATTGCTGGTCTGACCAATCAGGGTGGAACTTCAGCAGCATATCACAAATAGCGTTGTGTTCTCTTGTGAATATGTTGTGCATGAGACTCAGACCGATCCACCAGTTGTTGCTAAAACCTTTAGAAGAAGTCAAAGATTCATTTCTTCACAAGGAACAGTCATTCTATTATTAACTTATTACTATGAAATTAGGGAATGAAATGCCCAGTGACAGGACACCCAAAGTTGCCCTGCTGGATGGACTCTAACTCACCTGGGAACCGGGAGGAAAAAAGGCCGGCTAAAAACCACTTGGCGGAAAACGGTGATGAAAGAAGGGGAGGAGATGGGTCTAACGTGGAGTGAAGTGCAAGCCAAAGCTTAGGACAGGGTTGAGTGGCGAGGTTTGAAGTGCGCCTTTATGTTCCAACCAGGATGAAGACATAGAGTGATTGGGGAACCGAATGCCTTGTCTAAAACAACTATTAAATAAGTAACCTTCTGACTGACGGAAAACCCCCCAGAAGTGATGTGATAATTAATATCATTATACTACTCATAAGTCTCTACCTGGAGAAAACAAAACTCTTTGATGTATCTCTTTGATAGTTATTTATCTCGTAAATATCAACTTCTCTCCTTTTGAGCGGCTAACAAAGTGGCATGTTTTTTAAAATTAATTTAAAGATTGTGCAATACAGGGCATTCTCCCAACCAAGGTTATATCCAGCAAACCTTTTCGACAAGTGTTCTTCCTAATGAGACAGATCCAACTTGAAAAAGGAATCCTTTGAAAGGAGCTACATAGAGTGAGTATTCCATGAGTTGGGTTGTTGTTGTCTGAAATTAACAGAAGACTTTCAGGTGACCGTATTTCAAACTCACCAGTGATGTCTATTCCAGTTTTGCGGTTTACTGGAAGCCAACCATCTTTTCCCACCTTCATTTTTCCTTTCCTAAAGCTACGCAGTTTCTTATTTGTACGGATATCGGTACCATACAATTGAGAACCGTCCCACCAGTGTGTAACATCATTCTGAAACGTAGCTGGGGAGTCTGTATCCTAGAAACGACCAAATAGAAAATAGTATATAGTCATTCCTGTTAGAAATCAATTAATTGCCTTCGTCGGAGGTCACCGGCTTATTTGTATATATGAATATATATTTAAGTCCTTTATTTATTCTAGGCAGCAATTATAACATTAATTTAATGCTAGTGGGGAAGAGGTTAAGAATGAACTCGGTACTGTACCGAGAAGAAATCCAACTAGTTAAGGCAGGACTTGAACTCGGGTCCTCCGATTTACATGTCCAGCGCTCGGCTGCTTGGCCGCGATGCCTCTCGATCATCCATCATTTAAGAATACACATAGGCGTAAATGATAAACTGATTGCTTATTTACCGAGTACATTTGACAGCTGTCTGGCTTTGTTCTTGGAATTTTCATCTCGCCTTTATGTTCGTTATAAACAGGGTCATCTTCATTTAGCTCTATCCTTATACGTCTGGAAACATCTACTGGCCCATGGTCAAACCAGTCATGCAGGTTAAACTGGATCCAACCGGCTGCTAACAGGTTTAACTGTTTGGCGGGAATAAATTCATCTCTGGCCATCAATCTGTAAGGTAAAAAAGTATAAGATTTGTGTGACGAACACTCGGCAGTATCTTTTATGCTATGTTAATAATATACCTGACAGCTTTTGCTCCAGCACGAAAATCATACTGGATAGGGCTTCTGGTCACACATAACAACAGTAATTTTGGCGCAATTTTATTAACAACCTTTTCTCGACCTTTTCAAAGCATGCTTTACAAACCAACTGCATGACACCCATTCTTACCTGAATTATGTATCTTCGCATCGCACCCGTTGTAAGGAAGTTATCCCGTACAGTCGATATCTCCGCTTACGGCGCAGTATCTGCATATTTTTCGTGACTTGTAGCAAGAGAGGATTATTCTCTCTTGCTTGTTGAAAAAGGATATAGAGATGGAGGTACCTTGTATGGACCTATGAGTCCCGTTCGTGCCCATCCCATTTTGGTAGGTCTGTGCCCAGTGAAGCTAATAAAATTAGAAATTAGTAGCAATAACGCGCACTCATTATGACAAAGACTGCGCATTTCTCTCTTAACACCTATTCTTATTCCCGTATTTATATACAACTGCGAATTACAATCCATTTAAAGACACTGAGCAAATCTTTTTTTTAAGATTAAACCTTACTTCCTGCTTAACTGTCGGGGGCATGGTTCCAAGAGATCAGTGTCCTCAAACGTCTTGGTACGATTCACGTTCCTTCCAAACCGGTAAAACCTGCTTCCGGAGGCTGGTTGATTCAGGTCATTGCAAGTTCCGTCATGAGTACGAAATTTTCGCATATTTTCGGTGCAGTGCACTAGGAAAAAGTATATTTACTTATTATCTAATTTTCCCTTTAATGTTTTACCTATTAATTAATGCTTTTAAATTTGTTCGGGTCACTCAATGTTCAAGTTTATACACATCCCAGTCAATCGGAACACAGGCAAATCAAGAAGTATGCACATAAAATACCTATTAGTCAATAGATGCAATTGATACTGGTGATAAGTAAATCATACATGAGAACTGTAAATTATGATTTCAACCTAAGCAGCAGAATCAACTCACTTTGACTCTGAAGATGAGTACCGCACATTCAGGACTATGTTCACCTGAACGATCAAGCTCAACCTACTTATGAAATGACACCAGGGTTCACGTGTGGCACGTCTTAAAATCAAACTCTCTCGAAGAAAAAAAAAACAATTCAGTTCTTACTTGTTCTGAAGACTTCAATCATGTTCCGTGGTAGACCCTTTTCGTTAGCCCTTTTTCTGCACTTGCGTTGAGATAATTCACAGGTATGCAGATTGGCAACACAGTAACATTGACGACTGTGATCAAACCCTGCATACGCGTATTCTTTGTCCTTGCAGTGCTGTACACATTCTTCTATTGTTGTATCCTCCTTCTCGTATGACGGAGTTAGATACTTTACTTTAAAGCACCCCAGAGACATGTGACCTATGACGGCATGTCAAGCATTAATTAGTATCATCTCTTTCAACAGTTTAATAGAGTTTGATGGGGGAGTGATTGGTGAAGCAGCCAACTGAGTAGTACGGCCTAAAAAACACCTAAAATCACTTGGGTTCCCGAATTGAATTATTTGCTAATCACTCTCTCGTCGTCATAGACTTATCTCGAACCAAAAAATCATTGAAAATTCACAGAAAGTATTACTTTTTACCAACACCAACTGTATCTTGTCTTTTTTTCCAATTATAGAACGTCATATAAAATCATACTAAAGCAGGGTTAGAAGCTAAGACGCCATAGGATGTTCAAGACTTGTTATTTAGCCAGATATTTTCATTATCTCCTCACTTTTTTTCTACATTATTTTTATCCGAAAATGCAATTTCTTCTTTGGAGGATGGGGTGGAGGGCAAAGGGGTTGGGAGTTTGGACCCCCCCCACCCCATTATTCCCAGCTCAAGTCCCAGTTTTACCGGATCTAGGATCTTTGACTTTTATCAGATTTTATATTTCTTTTTTTTTTAAGTTCGAATATTTCTTGCTTTAGACCCACGTATACAGCCGGCTATATAAATAATGAATTGTTGTTATTATTATTATTCACCGGCGTCCTTCATTTGGTCCCTTTTCGGGATCCATCTTTAGAACTCCCTCCTTCCGCTTTCCTCTCCCTTATAGACAACCACGTTTCCACGGTTTTCTTCCTTCCGTCCCGTACGCAGATTGCCAGCGGGTAAGTAATTATATGTAATAAAATTTTCTCATTCAAATAAATAAATAAATAAATAAATAATAAATAATGATTTCGAGGTAGCACAATCACAAAGTGGTTCTTCGTCTACCTGATTCCTGATCGAATTGGAATTTGGAAATGTTGGTTTTTGAGGAGAGGGGAAAACTAGAGTACCCGGAGAAAAACCTCTCGGAGCAAAGGAGAGAACCAACAACAAACGCAACCCACATATGGCTTCGACGCCTGGATTTGAACCCGGGCCACGTTGGTGAGAGGCGAGCTCTCTCACCTCTGCGCCATCCCTTGCTCCCCAACCGACTTCTTGAGTAAAGTTATGCTTAATATTGTAATATTTACCTATCAGTGGGTCTTGACAATCGTATTTCGGTCCGGTAAGCTGAGAAGAGTAAGCATCAAATAAGTTGTTGTTTAGCAGATAGTCTCGTTGTCTGAACTGATAAAACATCATCAGGACAATCGGTAGCTTCCACCAATACGGAAGTTTCTGAAGAAGTTCTTTGACAAGTTTGGCAAGCTTTACGAGTAAGGCTTGTCCCGAAGTCATCTTGTCCTGCCAGTGAAGAGCACTAAACGTCAACGCAAATACTGTGTTAACGACAATGTGGTTACCCTGGGGGGTACTCGACCAATATTTGGGTGGAGGTGAGCCGCTGAGAGTTTCAAACCCTGGCCCTGTTTAGGAGAAAAAATTCCTAAAATAGGTGTACATACCCTGGTTAGGACAACACCCTCAATTTACCCTGTTTAGGACAAAAGACAAACTGCACGCCGTCTAGTTTTGTTTTTGTTTTTGTTTTCTTTGTTTTAAAGCCATTTATTGGCAATTGTTATGTCGCAAATTACAGCTAGTCATTGCTTTTGTATGCTTGGAGTACAAAGAAAATTCATGTAGGACATCAAATCATGATCAATCGTGCAGGCAATACCCTTTTGACAGAATCATATGAAATTATATACCATGTTTAGGACAGAGAGCTCAAAAACCATACCTGTCCAGCGGCACATCATGAAGTAACTACACGTATGTGCCATATAAAGGAGTACCCCCCGGTGTAGTTAGTAGACCATTCTGTCAACCGTAGTTGTTGGTTACTTAGCTGTCTAGATGTACTCTACTCATTAAAAATGGTCATTATTGAAGTCAATTGTGGAACTATTAAAGGTGACAAGGGTAACAAAAAATATAGATTTTGATGGTCAACTAAAATCAATAAGAGAACAGTATACCTTTAAATATCATATCGCCTAAAATCAAAGCCCATGATAGAGCTTTTGTTGAGCCCTGCTAAAGGCGAGAGACACTTTGAGGACTTTTTGTGTGAGCAAAACATTTTAACAATAGAACCCGAATCTGTGTCAATTACATTTGCTGTTCATGGAATTTAGTTGTTGCTTATTAACGTGTACTAAAACCATAATACCTCAGGGGCACCCAAGGATTTTTTTTGCTGTAAAATGTCTGTCCGGAGAAGCAAATATTGCCTAGGATTTTCTATTACTCGAGGGCGGCTAAAAATTTCCAGATAACTGTTCTTTTCATGTACAATTTTCGAAGCTCTCAGTCTAATAAATACCTTACGAGTTTCGGAAGTTTAATTTTTCACATTTCACTCCCCAGGTTAGGCTATTTTTCGTAGAAAAAAACAGAAGCCTAAACTTTTCGGATTCAAAGCCCTTGTAATTTCGAAAAGACTCGACAAGTTCCCCTAGTATGACCGCATGCATTTGTAGAGATCTAAAAGTACTCTGGATAGGCTAAACAGTGTTTTTCATGTATGAAGGAGGAAACCGTCGTTGGGTGCCCCTGATAACTTTTTACAGAGATATTAATTCCATTCAAAATGCAAATGTTTGATAATCCTGAGTTACATGGCCGAGTACTTTTCCAGCAAATTAACGCCTTTGAAAAGTAAGCAAATTCGGAACTACAATTTCTTTTTCAATGTTATCTGAGTGTTTTAATGTTTAAAAGTATTGGCTGTCATCTACTTTTTTTAAGCACGATGTCGTTGGAAGTCGACGTTTCGTTTGATCAAGGACTGGAAAAAAAGTTAAATCATGACTGAAATCATGCAGCCAATACACTTAACAGATTTGAAACTGATTCGACGTAGAATTAGCGGTATTCAGTACTTTGTGTTGTCGTCTCTTAAGTGCGGGTGTGCTAAATCTTAAACAGTAGAAATGTTTGCCATTTTTAACCGCGGCAGGATTAGCTCAGTTGGCACAGCCGGCGCTTGACTGCCCAGCGGGAGATAGCGGGTTCGATTCTCGGGCCCGAACAAGTACTCAGGGTCTTAAAATAACTGAGAAATGAAAGTACTGCCTTTGCCCTGCACCCGGGTAGACCTTCGCGTTGCTTGGATGTCCACGTAAAATGGCGGCCCCGTTTCCAGTTGGAGACGAAAAAACAGTGTCCGCAGTTAGTACTTTCGTGCAAAATACATCGACATTCAAATAAATTAAAGTGCATTTAAAGAGAAAATTGTATTAAAATACACAGACCATCAATCCTAATCAAAGAGACATATTTGACTAAATCATTGTCCTTCGAATGAGATATTGCCTGAAATTGGTGGCCATATTTGAATTTTTCATTTACTGAATTTTCTGCCTGGGGTTTGATTAATAAATTCATAGCACCGGTAATCATTACGCAAGGCTCACTCCAATTAAAAACTGCATACAAATACGCGCCAACAATTTAAACCAGTACCCGTTTTCTTTGGTAATTATTACTAATCTCTATAAGTCAAATTCTCAAATGGAGAGCGAATAAAATAGTTTTTTAAAAAAGTAGTGTAATAGTTTCAAAAGATGAGAAATTGCGAGACAAAATATATCCAGAATTGCAATTACATATTTTACACGGCTTTGTTGGTCTGATGGTGAAACTGACATATTTACGCAACTGGTAAATTATGTTTACACGCGTCACTGGAGATGGAGAAGAGTAATAGGGCATCCATAAACAGACAAACAAACAAACGCAAGAAAAAACAAACAGCTCAGATAAGACGATAAAACAGGTTTTTGAAAAGCTTAGCTAAATAGATGATTTGTGCCGAACGTACAGGCACTCGTAATGATCTTAAACCGTATAGATGGTCAAGCGCTTTTTAAAAGTCATTGAAAAGTGGACCGAAAAGGGAAAAAAGGAATTAAATCCACCGTCCTGAATGTTGCCGTGCAAACTTAAACCACCATGGCTGCGTGGCAATGGAATTAGAAAAAAAAGTGGCAAAGATCTTACCACGAAACGTCCTACTCCATGTAATCAACAATACACTGCAGTGGAGTTTTGTGATAACGATAACGGTTGCATTAAGTTTCTAGCTTACCACTCGTGAAAGCGCTTAAGTTCCCGTTTTGGACTCAAATGTACGAAATGTACAAAGTTGTATCAGTTAGCTGTCCTCGTGCGAATAACGTAGCTTCATTTAAACGCTACTGATCTTCATTATTATCTTTTAGCATTTTAAATGACAAATTTTAACCATTTGTATTTGTTGGTAGGCAATACGTCTTTTGTCTACCGCCATTTTAATCAGTGCTATACAGACATGATGATAAAGATGTATAGTACCATACAAACAAATGTTACCCCGGATAAACAGTACTTTGACAAAAATGTGCCACGATTAACGCAAACTTGTTATGTTCTTTTTTGCCTTTCGATTTTGAACTGATTTTACCAATACACGAAGCCTTTCAAGTTAATTTCCTGGTATATCTTACATGTAAAGAGCTTCTTACCACATTTCAACATCACTGATTACTAATTGGCTGAGTGGTTTTAGTTCTAAGACTGGCTTATATAGGTATATCTCAGTCTCATTGAAAGCGTGAGTCGCCTTCGCAATACTAGACTGTTAAGCTCCTCAAAATCTATCCCCTACCCTACGTCACGCACCTGTTTAGCTTACATATGGGAGTTTCCCCATCCACTTCAAGGAACTTTGAAGTCTGATATTGCCAATTAGTAAAATCCAACTAGTGGTCTATTATCAATGCTGCGTTCTGATTGGTTGAGCTACTACTAGGCTATATGTTATAGCCCCCTAGTAGCGAAAACTGCGGGCTTTTTGGCGGCAAAAAAGGCTTAAAGTCTAGCTTTTAACTAGCTAAAAATTTTTTATTCTCGATATTTTTGACCAACTAGTTGGATTTTAATAAAACAATTATTCCTGTCGCCCTCATGGCCTCTGAGTCAATGGCCAATTCGGCCTTCGGCCTCAGAGACCATGAGGGCGAGAGGAATAATTGTTAAATAGGATTTTGGGGCTGGCCGTTATTACCTTAGAGGGGGGGGGGGGGGCGTTTTGAGAAAGCTTAGAAGATATTTCAAGCCGACTCCCTACTTCTTCAGATTGTTTTAGAAACGACCTCCCCCATACATTTTACATTTTGTGAAAGTGACCCCCCCCCCCCCACCTGATTGCTATAGAAACTACGAATATTCTAGCTACAATCTGTGCCGAAGTTCACCGTGGTCAACATACTTTATCTATGGAGCCGCTTTTATAAGATCGGTGTTTACTATTCATGACTGTCAAATTAAACTTTTATGAAATTTATTTTCATTGACCCCTCAGGTAACGAACACTTTTACGACAATGATCCTCAAAACCAATCAAGATTATTATAATGAACCCTTCAACAGAATGGCCGCCCCTCCCCCTCACAGGTAATAAACGACCAGCGGCTTTAATGTCTTTGTTGTAACTACGATCTAAGACATGATTAATGAGATGTTTCAGGTAACCAGGATGTCACGTGAAACGCAGTCAAATGGCTCATTCATTTATGCTCCTCAGTTTGAACTGAAGGGAATGAACACTGGTCGACTGTGATAGTTCATTCCCAGAATCCTCGTTACCTTTGTTATGCGAACATACGGGGGAACAGGGGGACTGTAGGACGGAAACATCGTTTTGTTACTCTCAAGGCGTGTAAAAATGATCAGGACTAGCTTTTAGCCAAGTAGCGGTCAGTAGCAAATGTTCCATGTTTTTCTCAACTTTTGCGAAAACAATGAATTTTGTATATCGGTAATCTTTGAAAATTTCCACCACTGTTTTACGGCGTTTCTGGTACCTTTTCAGATCGAGCTGGATCGATATCTTCAACGAAAACAAAGTTAAAAGACTAAGACAGGCTACTGTTAGCTCAGTTTACTCTTACTATAAAGCTCGTTTTCTTTGATATATCAGTGACATGTTTTCAATCAGTTACTGCCTTAATCTTTGGTCAACAGATCTATGTTCGACACTAATACGTTCCTTCTAGCATTACACCTTTAAAAATTAAGAACTTAAAAGAAACAGTGTTTTCTTAGTCAATGCAAGAAATTAATCTTTTCCAAATGGTATTTGTGATGAATAAACTTGCTCTTTACCATAGCGACGCCTTCTACATTGAACAATGCCATCTATTGAAAACTGACTTGTACGAGAACACGAATTCAAACGATTGTTAGCGTTAAAAAGTAAGCGTTCCTGCATCAGAAATCTCCGCAAATTTATTTTGACTGGATAAAAGTTTTATTTTCAGCTATCAGAGCCTTTTAAAGACACTTTTCCCTGTTTTTGCGTCATGGTCGTTAACTACTTTTCTCACCGAGAATTCCTAGCGACACTTAAGACTCGTAATTTCACCCTACGTGTTGTTATTCAGGCGACGAGGAGTACGCAAAGAAAACCTAAAAAGCTGGATAAATTCTACAACATATATCGTAAGATTGAGACCCTTAAGGGACTTAGGGTGAAAGTTGGAGCGGTGCTAGGCTAGCCAAATAGAATCTAAAGGAAAACACATTAAAAAAAAAAAAAGAAAACAGAGATAACTAGAAATAGAAAAAGAGAAAAGTGCAAAGAAATTATACTTAACTATGGCTAATACACACTGTAGCACAGCGTATAACCTACCTTCCTTAAGTATAATCGTGACAAGCACGCACGCACACCCTTATTCAACACCTTTGGATTCACACCCAAACGATCTTAGAAGAATAATTTAAAATGATAATTAAGTGCGAACTCTTCATCGAGTCAACACTCTGTTCAAAAGCAAACAAATCAATATTTGACAGAAACATTGATTTCAAGGACAAAAATCCCACAGTTTGGTTTTTAACTTAAGTCAAAGCTGTAACCGGATTGAAAGATGCGATTCAAATTCAATTATATTATTATTTTTTTTATAAAAACCGGCTAGCCTATTTTATGAAAGTGCTGAAGGAGAGATTGACCAAAATGTTACAGTTTTGCTAAGAACTCATCCAAAGAGATACTAAAAACGAAAAACAACAAAAAAAGCATTAAATAAATTTTCTAGCCGCGTTTTTGCATCGCACGGACATGTAGTAACAACATAGATTTCTGCCATGACATTTATTCATTTAACTTTTCAGTCGCTATAACAGATGATAAGTGTTAAAACAACTTTTTCAAATTAAGGCTTTGTTTTCTTGTTAAAATAATAACACATCGGTTATGAAATTCGGTACAATTAAGATCAGGAACATAATTTTTATCAATGTTCAGTCTTACGATATGAAGTAAAGAAAAAACAAAAACAAAACACAAATGAGAAGATTCCACAACCATCGACTTTAACTAAACAATCAGACTCTCTTATGACAAATAAACCCAAAAAGCAAAGCAAAATAAAATAAAACCCTGCCTGTCCTATCATCGCAAAGTGCCAGTTTTACTTTAGTGACAATGACGAAGGAACAGCTGGCGTGTCATATATTTTCTCTTTAAAAGTATGGCTATGTCTCTTGTCGCAACATAAACCTGGTTGAAAAACAAACTCACTCTGTAAATGAGCAAGTTTCCTTCCGTTATTGGACTTGTTAATGACATTTTTAAAGGATATTAACTTAATAATACGCATTTTTGTTTACATTTATAGAGCTTAACTTGAAATTAAAATTGTGACAGGCATTTTGCGATAGGTGATCACTTTAATTGCACTATTTTGCTGTTTCGAAAATGAATAAAAAAAATTGTGTTTTATGTAAGAATTTCATCAGTCTCTATAAAATAAACAGAACATTACAAGGCCCCTTGGGGATAAGAATTTTATCTTCGAGTGCTGAAAGTATCTCTCATACTTGCAGCACTCAAAGATAAAATTCGTATCCCCGAGCGGCCATGTAATGTCCTCTATTTCTTGGAAGGAGGATCGTACTTTCGAGTGCTTTGATGGTTCCTTAGTAAGTGACCAAAGCGTTCTTCATTTGTGATTTAGTTTATACAGTTGACCTGATAATCGGCCTACAAAAATGTTGTGTAATTGTGGTACTGAATTCGGCAGGCTATCTTGTAAATCTGAGACGCACAGGTCAAAAAGCATTGGCCCAAGAATTGACCTCTGAGGAACAAAAAAATGTACGCTTGCTTGGTCATCTATTGAACAAAGTGGGAACGATTACTTAGGTAGCTGGTCGATCACCTGAGAAAGGTCTTAACCCATTCGCTCCTGGAGATTTTGCCGAAAAACGCGTTTTGAAGCTAGTCGAGTGGTTTTCTGGTCACTGTCGTGCTATAAAGAGCTAAAACTTACCACAAACCGGTTTACAGGTCGTACACTTGGCGGCCTTCTGATCCAGATGCAAAATATCAGCTTGCGAAGTTCGGGCATGCGCAGAAAGCAAAATTTTTTTTGGGTTTAAAAGTGACACAGCAGTCTTGACTTTTACTTTTCGCTTTCTCTCCTCCCTTCTTTTTTCGCTTTTCTTGCCTCATTTTTTTTTCTCTTGCTGGGCATTTAGTAGGCTTCATTTTGGTGGGAAGAGTTTTTAGGAAAGCTTTTAGGATCTTAGGATTAGGTGAAAGGAAAGGTAGGTGGGTAATGGAACAAGATTTTCATGGAGATTTTCAGGTCCTTGTCACGTGGTTTTTTGCTTCTTTCTCCGGTGTCCTTGACTGAATTGTGCTCATTCTGGTATGGTTTGAAAGATCTGTTCACTCTGCACAAGTTAACGAAGAAAGTTGTCCTTGACCGTTAAAACTGATGACGTCACAAGGGGTAGAAAGGACCTGGATCCGCACGGGCGGTTACGGGCGGTTCAGGGGCGAATGGGTTAAAGAAAAAATGACAAAGAGCTTTGTTATCAGACGAGTTTTTTTTTATACCGAACCGTTTGTAATACCTTTAAAAAGTTGGCGAGAACTATCAGTGCAACTTCACCTTTTTTCACTGCTCGGAGTAGATCGTCGCGTATACCCATAAAAAATAGTGTAAGTAGAGTGCCCTTTACGGAATCAAGATATTATTAATATGTTTGGGAGTAGCTTCATGTTCACAATAATTGCACCCACGTGAAAGCTGCCGGATAAAAATTAAATTTTGCTATTGGACTTTACCAATTTAGTGATAACGCAAGGAAATAATATACGTGTATATTTTTATTACATTTTAATTGTTGTTAACCGTCCAATACAACGTCAAATATCACGGTTCAATGATATATTAAAGCAATTTAAACTCAACTGAATTTGTAACCATAAGTAAAATACTTCTCATGAATTCTGCACCTCGAGAGATTAATTTAGACACTCGGAATCCCTTGGTTATTAATTTTCAATAAACTTGCTTTCTAACATTCAATTTAAAGCTGGCTACGTTATCTATTGGTTGAAGATTGTCACAGAAACGTTGGGCGCAACGAGGGATCCGATATCCTTAATGCTAAGGCAATCATTTATTCCATACAAAAAAGGCATTAGTAACTGTCCTCATGGCGTTGTCTAGTCCTGGCACGTTATCAAAGTTACGCAGTAGAACTTTCTTCATGGTGGAGTCTTCAACCCATTTCAATCCTTCTTTGGTGTAGTACTCTTCTTTGTAATCAATCGTCAAAAATCTGAGAAAACACATAATGATACAGAGCTAGCTGGGCAAACTTTTTCATCGATGGGTAATCGCGACTCTCCCGATACCAACAAATTATCTTGGGCTAAGTGCCTGACATATAGAGAAAAGGCAGAACTTATCATTACTTTAAAACCTAGAGATATTTCGGCCATATTGAGCGGTAATTATGATTAAGAACTTTCTCTGCATTTAAAGAGGTCTGTCTCGCAGTTTAGGTTTAATTGTCGGTAAGGCATACCCATTGAAGTGAAATATCCCCAGCAGTAAGTGCAACATAGCATAGAATGCAATCTGCATGATTGACAACAATCTGTGTTCGTATTTGCTAACCTATTCAGAAAGTCTAACGCATATTGAGAAAACTCTAAGCACCTGTTTACTTTCTCTCCGAACCAGAGATGTACACATATAACCAGTTAGTCTCCTAATAAGCTTAGAGGCACCTTGTGTTGGTGGGAGAGACTATCTAATATTTGACTACTAATCATTCCTTTCATAACTTAATTTTCAATTCGCTCCAATGACTACGACCCTATAGAAACATATTTTAATTGAACGAAATCTTGGCTGGGAAGAAAAAGATCTCAAATAAACGGAAAAAAAGTATTTTAACCAGAATTCTAAACTAAAATAATTACATTAATTCAAACTGTACCTATCGGTTCTGAGCCGCCGGTTGGCCATGCACAAGAAGAGATGAAACGGTGTATCACCAAACCCGAATCCCTCGGGACGAGCCTCCGCTAACGAGCCAATCAGGAGGTCCACATCTTCGATTTTACCATTATACGCTTGTCTGAGTTCCGCTGCAGTCGCTGTGTCATTCGTTAGCTTCTCAAAAGTGTCTGGTACTGTTAAGTTAAGCAGGCGTCTAAATTGGTTGTACCGTGGAACTCCTCGCTCACGATCTCTTAAAATGTCAATGGTCGCCAAATCGACAAGCTGAAAGAAAATTTACAAGTTAGCAGGGTTAAATTAGGTACAAGGTCATCGACGTTATCATAACATCAAAGTTTCATTGACACTGTCAGTTACTAGATAAGCTTTTGTTCCTCTGTTTTACTCTGCAGCGCCGTAGCTAGTATGAGGCCAACCGAGGCACTCGCCTCGGTAAAATTTTGACGAATTTCGCCGATCATTTTTATTTTACATAAGCGATCATCGGATATTTTTAACGCATCATGATATTACAAAGAATTCAGCAATTCAGTCAATATACTATAAAAAAAATTACCATATCATCGATCTCAAGGGGCTACGTACGTTAACTCAAATTTTTTTGGAACAAATACTGATCAAAACCATTGGCGAGGTTAACGGTCATCCAGATTATGTAGCTTGTTTCTGATTATTGCTTTTTAAATTCCACTTAAATTAACTCGAAAAAAAGTTACCGAAAGGCCCAGAAAACGCTGCAAATCGCATTTCCGAGAGACTAAAGTTCAAAATTTCTCGGGGGGCATGCCGCCGAACCCCCCTAGCAACTCCCGCCTGCCTCGGTTGGCCGTTTGGTCTGGCTACGGCACTGCTCTGTTGACTTCGAGACAGTTTTCAGGAGCTAATAAGCGACCAAAACTCTACATCACGGCAGTATGGGATATTACCTGGCTGGCTACGCGAATAATAATAATAATAATAATAATCACACAATAATAGTTAAGAATTTATATTGAGCAGTTCTCACTTGGACGAGATGATCAACTGCGCTTTACAACAATACATAGAATAAAAGTAACTGAATGATAAATAAGAATTACATCATGTGTTGTGTATGTTATCAAAAAACCTAACTAAGAATAAAGAGCCTTAATAAAAGGTACGTCTTTAAAAATTTTGCTAAAAATAAATAAAAATTACATAGTTGTGTATAGGTATTAAGTACACCTAACTAAGGATGAAAAGCTTTACTAAAAAGATGCGTCTTAAAAAAATTTTTTAAAACTGTCAACAGAGTGGGCCTGGTGACTTGAATCCTGAGCCGGATTGTCCAAAGCAGGGCTAAGATAACCCAGGGTTAGTGCGTAATTTCAGTTCAGATATGAAAGCTTGAAAAACTAATCTAGTTTTTTCTTTTTGTCTACCAATTGATGATTAGAGGCTCTAAAACGAATTGCGAAAATTATCCAGGAAAATACTTTTGAACAAAAGAAAAAGAAACCCAGGTTAAAATTTAACCCTGGGTTAGCGCTAATCGGTCTTCAAAAACTGAAAAAACAATAAAATTAAAATTCAAAAACAATAAAAACAATAAAATTAAAATTGGAAAACAATAAAGACGTTTATCTATTTATTTTAGACAACTGGACCCTATGTTCTAATTGGTGACTCAACCCGACAAGATGCAGCGGGGCCTTTCTTACTGACCCGCTCTGGATTTCCCGCTATGTCCCGCAAGGCAAGTTTTCAGTTAATAATAAATCCAAGGCTGTTCTCCATCACTGGTTTCCCTACGAAATGACGTCTGAGAACCGAATGCAGAAATTCCACACTGATGACGTATTATTTCCAAGGTCTGAGAAGCACTTCTTACTGGTATAAAGCAAATTTCAGATCTGTGCACGTTCCTCGGACGTCATTTCGCGGAGAAACCAGTGGCGGCGTCGCTTAATATCGGCTGTTTTCTCCGGCTAGCTAAATATTAGCGTTGCAGTTTACTACGTTTTTATGGACCACGACTACGACGTTTCGTTCTACTGAATAAAACGCTATAAAAGAACAGAACCCACACTAACTGGTATTTTCACCTCACGCTTGATTCGTAATACGCAATTACTTGCGTTTCAGTTACCTCTCCTCCTTGGTGCTTTGGTATTTTAAGTTTCATCAGTTCGTTGGGATAGTTGTGTAAAACAAGCTGACCTGCCTTTTCCACTCCGAAAGTGTAGAGAATGTCGTCTAACTCGTTCTCATCGAACACATTTCGTGCATTTCCAAAAGAGTATTTCGGAAGGCTGTATTTCTTTCCTTTTAATTGACCTGAGGGAACAATTTTTCATTTAAATGGAAAGATAGAGGCGTTATAAAATTATGCAGCGGTCTTAAATTCATTTATAATTTTAACATTTTAACCAGCTAGGCATCTTAGAAAGGGATTCATCCAAAAAATCATCGATCCTATTTACAAGTCGTAGTTGGCTTTTTTCAGCCAGAATGCAAACGAGCCGGTTTACAAACTTAACGCAACGTTTAAAACAATTTTTAATGTGAGCATCCTTGAAGAACCTAGAAGAAGCTTTAGAGGTAGGAATATTCCCAGCAAAATCACTGCATTCTTTTTTTCCAACCCCGAGAAGCATTTGGACCATTTGAATTCCTGGCTTCTGATTGGCCAGAAAAGCATTATACATATCTTAAGTTACACCCTTTCTTCCTGGGAGTTACGGTAGCGGAACGTGTTTTGCCACATATTTATTTACCCCTTTCACTGCCAGAACGCTTGATGGATTTTTGTAAGGTGACTCTAACTTTTGAGTCTGTGGACGAAATCCTATGATATGACCATTCAAATGAAAGCTCTCCGCCTGTACTTTCACATGATGCTATTTGTTTGTCAAAATTTTAGAAAGTGAAATTTGGATGTTTGGTCGAAATTTGCCTTTGGCCACATTTGGCAGTGAAAGGGTTAAAAGGCAACAGTATATTTTAAGGCGTAACTCTTACCGGTTGTCATTCGGCGAATATTAAGATAATCTGGTAATAACGAATGCATTCGGTAAACAGCAACGAATTCTTCCGTCAGGGAAAATGGAACACCCCTGTAGTCAGGCGGGTTCTTTTGGTGCGATGGAATACTGTTCGATCCAAGAGTAATATTCATTTCTTTAAGCATTTTTATCACTCGAGGACTCAGCTTGCCGTACCACTGTCCTATCAATGACTCGTTAATGAAATCTGTATTCAGTATTGCGCCAGTCCATTCCAGAGTATGAATCTGGACAATCTGAGCCGTGTTAATGAGCCTGTCATATAGATGGTATTTTATATGCAATCAGTAAAGGCTGGTCTCAGGGTGCGTTATTAAATTAGAGAGCTTAAGCAAAGACGTTTTTGGACGACGCACGTGGACCGGAAGTGTGCCAAATAAGTATCTTTATCATTCGATGCAAATTTTTCTTCCTTTTCATTGGCTAAAAGCCCACCATGTGACCTGCAAATAACTGCCTACAAATAATGGTCTGCTCATGCGCAATGTCGTCCAACTGTGTTTGGCTGCAAATAATGTTCTGCTCATGCGTAAACGAAACCACGCGTGATACGTTCTTGCGTGAAAAAAGGCAGATCGCTTCGCTTCCCGAAGATATTCATTAAAAAACAAACTTGGTGATCGAATGATAAAACAATTATTGAACTCGGTTATCACAAAATATCGTGATTTGCCAGTGTCTCGCACATCAATTATTTGCCTCAGCCTTCGGCTTCGGCAAATAATTGATCTGCTCGCCACTGACAAATCACGATATTTTGCTCAACCTCATCCAATACTTGTTAATTTCTCGTATACAGAGGATTTGCGCGAAAATATGGGCAAGAATGCAAAACATCCACTTCCGGCTGACGTGCGTCGCGAAAAACTTGTAATCCCTCTTATCCCACTGCTATCATATACTGTTACGTATGGGAGAATGGGTACAAGCTTTGGGCGCAGTGATTTCTAGGGTAGTTTGGGAGGACAAGCGTTAGTTAGGATTGGTCGATGGTATTCAAGGCAACAATTAGCCAAATATGAGTAACAATTGTCCACCCAATACATCTCAGAAATCATTGAGCCGAAAGCTTGTACCCATTCCCCTTCTGGTTTCCCAGAGTGGGGAATACCAGCTCATAGGGAACTTAAGCAAAGACGACGGCGACGTCAACGAGAACGGCAAAAAAGCACTGAATATGTTTAGATTGCTAAAACAACAACTTTGCACGTGCATAGTCACGTTTTTTTGTACATTTCGTTGACGTAACTGCACGACTACGACGTGAAACTGCCTAATTTAACGATTTGTCGAGGACAGGAGCACAAGAACAACTTTCCTTTACTTTTCCCGAACTTTGATTCAGTCTTTTAGAATTCAACTCCTAAAAATTTGCCAACATTTGACGAATTGAACGATATGAAATTCACTTATAAAGTGACGTTTTCGTACCCTTAACCGTCGTTTTTCTTAAGCTCCCTATTAATCGAAAAAAAGAACCTGTCTGGATGTTACAATTTTAATCTTATTTGAAAACATTGAAAAAATAAACAGAATACCGTAAAATTCCTAAAATAAGCCCCAGGGCTTATATTTTTCAAAGGCCCTTTTTGAGGGGCTTATTTTTAGAGGGGCTTATCTACGGAGGGAAATTTGCGTTTCAAAGTCGATTGGGCTAGCCTTATAAATGAAATGAAATTTGCCGTTTTTGCTTTGTTTTACTTTGTATTTGAGGGCAATTTCCAAGTACAAGCCACACGGGGGGCTTTTATTTGGAGGGGCGATTTAACGGAAGGGTTTTTGCGTTACTAGATTGGGGGGCTTACATTTGGAGGGGCTTATACATGGAGGGGCTTATTTTCGGAATTTTACGGTATGGTGAAACTTAAATGGATATGGTTATGAAATATCCACGCTGTATAGACAGAAAAAATTGAGATCACTTATCCCCAGTTTTTATGCATAGATTAAACAAAAAATGACCCCATTATCTTACTAGAGACCAACCTCGATCAATCACGAAAACTTACGGGGACAAGGCTTTTTCAGTATGTGCCCCTAAACTGTAGAATTCACTACCATTAGATTTGCATAAGTCACCATCTTTAACTGGTTTCAAGAAAGAATTGAAAACATATCTTTTTTAGCAATTTTTAGAGAGTGGGTCATTGTTTTTGTAAACTTTATGATTTTAAGACCTGTAATATAATGATTGTAAATAGATTTTTAATATTTTTTGTGATATGTAAATTACTTCATTTTCCCCTTTTTTACATTGTGAAGCGCCATGAGCTCAGGATATGGGCACTATATAAATAAAGTTAATTATTATTATTATTATATTATTACTTCAAATTCAGCGCTGTCCTCTCCCTCAGCATTCACAATAAAACCTGAGAATTTAACTCAAGCAGCGTGATGATATTTAACGTATCCCTGAAGACACAATGACGCATTCCGCAAATATTTTGTCTGATTAAAGAAATGAGACGTTTAAAGTTTGGTCGTACCTTGCGGTTTGGAAGAGTCGCTCATCTTGACCTTTCCAAGCTGGGTGATTCTCCATCAGCATGTCACAAATGCTGTTGTGCTCTCTTGTGAATAAATTGTGAAGAAGACTAAGTCCAGACCACCAGTTCTTGGACATTCCTGATTACATAAGTATCGAGTTACAATGAAAATGGGCTTGGGTCAGCAGTAAATGAGCAAGTTAGGCACCTTCCACTCGTATCCGGATATTTTTGAAAACGGAGATTTTTTCTTCTTTTTAGCCTTTCGGCCGTCCACACGTTTACGGCGTTTTCGGGCATCAATAGCGCAGGTTTTCAAGACTTTCCCCAGACTGGAGTTTTTAAAATCGCCGGCTTCTCGTTTGCGTCGGTTTTCGAATACGCTGAAAGGTTACTGAGAGCTCCGACACTCTTGCTCCAACACTGTGCTTTGCACAATTTTCCCATGATAGAAGGTTAAAACATGCCTGATCAGATTACGATTGATAGAAGGTACAAACGCGAGTGATCAGATTGCGTTCGGTGCTCTCCATTTATTCTTAGTGGAAGTCCAAACGAAGCTGGCTACATACGTGACGTGCATGCGTAATAACAACCCGGAGATTAGGACTGAGGGCTCCTCATGCCCTCGCAATTACGCATGCACAGTAAGGGCTGCTATCATGTTTCCGTCATCTTAGCGTTTTCATGTAGACGGGTGAAAACGGTTGAAATACGCTACGTGTGGACAGGTATTTTTTTGTGAATGAAGAAAAAGATCTCCATATTAAAAAATATTTGGATACGTGTGGACAGGGAATCAGTTATTCAAGGAATCCAAACATTTTGCAAAACCAGGAGCCCATGATGGGCTCCTGGCAAAACACAAAAATTCCTTTCGGTTTGGTCGTCGTCGGTTTCTTAGAACCTGTTAAATCATGCATTAATTACAGTGGACCCTGTCCACAATGGCCCCCTTGGGGACAGAAGAAAGTGGCCATTATGGGGAGGAAGGGGTGTACTTTGACAAATGTTTTTAGGGGAGTAAAACATGTTTATTGTGCCAAGTTCATGTGTTTCATAATGGCTATCCAAACATAAAAATGATATATAGAGCTAAAATACACACAAAAAACTTCTATTATAATTAATTTTTTGAATCAAATCGTTAACATGGCCAAACGAGCAGGGCTCGTAACATTTGCTTAAAGTATATATTGTATATGATTCATACTTCGGTGCCGCAGTGTTAAATGGAACGGAATCAAAACGATTGCGTCGATCATCAACGCGCCATACTGATCAAATTGAGCGACAAAACTGGCCGTTTTCGAGAGGTTTTGAAAGTTGGGGACGCGCTGTAGTGGCCGTTGCCGTTGTAGAGAGGTGGCCGTTGTAGAAAGGGTTAAACAAGAGTCAATGTATGGACTGCCCGTCGGGCCAAAAAAAATGGCCGTTGTAGAGAAGTGGTCGTTTGTGGAGGTTCCATTGTACTATTGGAGAAAACCACTTAATATTTCGCATCGAAAAAAGATCTTAACCGAAGAAGCCAAGAAAAAAGGATGGGAGATAAGAATGCAAGGTATGGGACACGGGAAATTTGGTAACCTATTCCCCCTTGATCCCGCTCTACTCTTCAGCTTGATTGTATTAACGTTATAAACAGCGGCATTACCAGTTATGTCAATGTTGGACTTTGGATCCAAAGGAAGAAAGCCTTTGTCATCAACCTTTAATTTGCCGTCAACAAATGATCTGACTCGATCGTGAGTTTTTCTATCGCTGCCATACAACTGTGAGCCGTCCCACCAATGTGTCACGTGATTCTGGTACGCCGGTGGTACTGCATCGTTTTTGTTTTCGCAAGGGTCTGGTTTGGTGCGACGAACTTTCAGTTTACCTGCAATTAGGACAAATAATGAATTACACATGCCTGCTGATCTCCATTTGACAGCTCACCAAATTTCAACTAATTAACGCGCGACTCGCAAAAAACAAAACCACGCCATTTTTCCGCGCGTGACTTTTACTCTGAGGGATTGGAGATAGTTCCTACCAATTTTTAACCCAAGAAATCAGCAGGTGTTTCTTAACTTTACGAGGGCTAAAATATAGTTTAGCCCGCCAAATTCTCCATTTCAGCCCGCAAAATGCGCCACAATGCCAGACAAAGTGGTGATGATAATAAGAATAATAATATATAGCTTTGGCCAAGCCTAAAAGCGGAGCTCTTTTGTACATTTTAAGTCATTGACTAGAATTAATATATTTTAAAATGGTATGGTTAACCGAGGTAAGTTTTGCCATTTTTGTGTAGATTTCAAAAAGGCATTTGATAGTGTGCTGGATTTTTTTAGGGTTTTAGCTTTGAATGTGGCCGCAAAAAAGCTTTGTAGCCCTTGCCGGTACAAGGAGGGTCAAAGGTTCATCGTTTTTTTTTAATGACTGCCATAGTAAAAATTTGTTTTCAAAGTCATCCTTACTTTGCATGTGTGACGAGTTTCTGTCTATTACATTAAACTTCAATATCCGACTGTTTTTGTCTACTCGTCATTTGGACAAAAGGTTTTGGGGCCCGGACAAAGAAGTATTATAATGGTAGATATGCAAATTGCGAATTCCCAACGAAACGCTGCATGCTACAATTCATGCATTTTTTCTTACTGCACATATGAAGATTACCTTTCATTTTCTTATATAAGGGGTCGTCTTTTGCAAGAGGGACTTCGATTGTTTCCTTGGTGGCTGCACTGTGATCAAACCAGTCATGAACCATAAATTGAAGCCATGCCACGGCGAACAGATTCAGCCAAGGAACTTCTATAAACTTCTTACGCTGCAACAAACTGCAAATTGAAATGATCAAATTTCTTCTGTTGCGTCGTACTACCTTTAGGTGGTGTAAGCACTAAGCTAGAATCAAGGTAGTCCCCAAAGTTACGGTTGCAGAAGTCGCTCCATTCAAATTTAGCTGACTGGATTTTAGAAGGGTTTAATATACGTAGACTCGGAGGAAAATCGAGGTCACAAAGCACAGTAAAATTTTAATCTGGAATTTACTGCACTTTTCACAAACACGCGAACTCTAAAGTTCAAAAGCTGCCTTCACAATTGCGTTTTTTGTTGCTGTCAATCATAATTACGATCACAAGCAACGAACCTTGAAACACAGAAATACACAAAACGGATCGAAATCCACCAATCACAGATCGAAAACCTTGACCTTTTGAACCCGTTTAAGTAAAGTTCTCTTTCCTAAGATGTCCCTTAAGATGACTGACGGCAGCGAAAAACACAAACGTCAGTTGGCTTTTGAACTTCAGAGTTCGCGTGTTTTTGCCGAAAAGCGCAGTAATAGCTGCACTCTTGTCGCCCTATGCAATGTCTTCTTTTGCCTCACGAGAGTTAGAGCCGAGGTTTGGGTCATGTCGGCTAAATTAACAACAACAGCAGTAAAGAGGATAATGGCAAGCGATCAAACAAATCATTCGAACTTACTTTTTGGCTAGAGTTCGTGGATCTGGCTTGAGTAGATCTCCAGGGTTGGTGTAAACGTGTTTAAGAGGAACGTTCCTGCCAAAACGGTACAACCGGCTTCCGGCAGTGGTGTTATTAAGATCATTGCACGTCCCGTCGATTGTTCGAGCTTCTTTCATTTCCTTCGTGCAGACATCTTAAAGAAATAAAATAACAAAATAAAATGAAATGAAACGAAACGCCAAAATAAAAAAAGTCTGAAAGGTTAAAACAAAGACAAAAGGAAATGATAATGAAAATGAGAGAACAGTAAAAAAAAATATGGAGATAGAAATCGCTAGAACTTGCTCAACAGAGAATAGACGTCTCTTCCTTCAATGCCAGTGTACTTAAAGTTAAAAAAACGATCAAAGAATCGAAAGTCATGAGGATGGTGGTGCGCTAATTCGAGGCAATCGAGGAGGTCTATGCTGTGAGTGCTTACTCATGGACAAGGCGCTGATTTTAGGAAGTCTAGGCATCCACGACAGGAACATGTACGGGAACGTCAATAAACACTTTAGTGAAGAAATAAAATTGACTTCACGTAATCGCCATGAAGGGTAAAGAACACGATTGCACTTAATAAATTACGTTTTTTGCTGCATTTATATGGACGCTTGTAGTATTACTACTTACCCTCAATTCAAAATATGTCGCCGTTTCTGATTGGCTTTAACAATCCCAGGTAAATAACCGCCCCCTTCAACCGCATTATTCTTACTATCATACTAAGCTTCATTTAATAATTCAATTAAATGTTTAAAATTGACTCACATGTATTGTAGAGTGAAACATGGTGAGAGCCACCACAACGCAATTTCTTCTTAACGCCTTTGCACTTTTTTCGACATTCACATTCTTTAACTTTCTTTGCTGATTTAAGGTTTACACCACAGTAGCATCTAAATTGATGAAAAGAAGAAAAGAATGTTCCGCAACAGTGTTAAATTTCTGATAAATATTTTAAATCCTCCGGTACGAATATTTGTCAGTTATGTAACGAACAAGAATCTTTGCTTTTATGAGATATAAATTGATATATTCCCTTCTCATTCGATCTCATGGGAAGCATATTTGCAAATCACAGCAAAACCTTCTTCCTATCTTCCCTAGGACCATTACGATATAAGAAAGAATAGGCAAGTATTAGCCTATCCTTTCTTATATCGTAAGGCTGGGAAAAGTATACCCTTTCGAGCGTCCCCCCTCTGTATAGGCCATTATAGGGAGTACCAACTGAGATTAAAGCAAGTTTCCGGCATTGGTCACAGAGATTTCACACTTAACGCACGCGGCAATCAGGGGCGTAGCCAGGTTTTTTACTACTGTAGTTATAGGCCTGGCTGACTTTCATTTCCACATATCCTGACAATTGCACGCATGACTAGTACGCACTGCCCTCAACAACACTTTGAGCTCTAAAGCTTTTTATGCTCACCCCAACAACGCATAATTTATTACAAGCGGTAGAGTGATCAAACCAAAAATTTGTAGGCACGGGTCTACAGGTCTATGGGCTGGCCACGCCCCTGGCAATCAAAACTTTTTAACACAGACCTTTGCCAAACAGACATTCATTTCTGTCTCTTTGCTGCCGGCATTAAAAGGGCTACGTCTTGGCTGTCTAGTTCATTGGGTTGATGTTGCCAAAAAAGCTTCGTATCAGGTCCCAGTTGTTCAAAAGGTGGATATTACACTATCCACCCAATAAATCTCTATCCAGTGGATAAGTATCAGGGAAACCAACTGCACTATCCACTTGATAGAGATTTATCCGTTGGATAGCGCTATCCACCGGATAAATCTCTATCCTCAGGATAACGCAATTGGTTTCCCTACTACTTATCCGTTGGGTAGCGTTATCTAACGTTTGAACAAGCGGGACCAGATAAACATCTCTCCCAAAGAATTATATATTTATCGTCATAAACAACAAAAATGAACTTTGCAAAACTGTTGGACTAACAAGTTATCAAAAACTCAGTGCAACTGCAATCTGTTTTAATCTTCTCCTTGAAGTTTGTTCATCCCTCCCTTTTTGTATTAATTATTTTACGACAGTTTAATTCAACCGTTTTTATTACTTTCTTTTGGTCTTTCCGTTCTGAGCTGTTTTTAATTTTGCGATTTACTCGGCAATTTGATGGCATTATGATGTATAAAACCGTACATGGGATCTCTAACATCTAAATTTGTATCTCGTGACGAAATTTTTGATCAATCCTTCCACTTACCAATTATTTAAAGACAAGTTTCTCCTATAGCGGACACAGCTCCTATTTTTCTGCAAATGACTGTAGTTTTACACGGCATCCTTGAAAAGCAGCTTTTATTTGTAAATAGCTAGGTAGTAAAAAATTTTACCTGTCCCCTTTTTAAGGCTGCATTTAGTTAGGTAAATAGATCTTATTTTTTTTGTACTTTTTTAACAATGAGCAACGCATTTTTAAATCGGGGAATTTTACACTGACGATAAAGACTGTTGGACAAAGCCGTTGATATTATGATCCAAAATGGACTTCTTAAAGCATCCCATATAGCCATCGCCTTGTGAGACAAATAGATCAAAAATGGTTGATAAGACAAATAAATGCTTTTTTCAAAAACTGAATGATAAAGTCATTAGGACACCTGGTTTGTAGCTCTGACCGTATGGGCTGGGGTTAACTCTAACTAGAAAGCTTTACGGATTCTAAGACGAGTACGACTACGAGTTCGAGATTTTCTCAATAGTCAACCAATACCAGCCTAGTCTCTAGGCGTTCTCTCTTGCCCCGTTGTCCCCGCGAGTATCTCTAGGTGACGTCATAGCTCAAGGTAGAGTCCAGGATTGACCGAGCCGAGAACGCCTAGGCTGAACCAATACTAAGTAGTGCACGCTCGTGAGGCAGCGTCATTTTGGCGGGCAAACGTGGTAGCCGTCGTCATTCTGTTCGCGCGAATGTCGTGGTGGCGAAAAAAAGATATCAAATGTTAAAAGTTTTATCTTTTTGCAATCGGGAGAGCGCGTAACCTCCTTCACTAAAGATAACAGTGCTAACGTTTCAAGTGAAAAATGGTAAAATGAAGCTTTCCGCGGTGTCTATATTTTGAGAATAGGCGAAAAAAACTTGAAGTCAGATCTCGTAGTCGTCCTCGTCCTCGAATCTAAAGGTCTCTAATGAGAAGTCCTTGTAACTAAGACCTAGATTTAGCACGTGAGAGATCATCCCACTGGCAGTTATGTAGGCAACTTAAGTGGTTGCGAAATGAAAGCCTTAAAAAATTGAGGATTGAATAAGATTCGAACCCGTGACAAACTGAGATATACCGGTGCAGAGCTCTTATCACTAAGCGATCAGGCCAACTTGGAGCTGTTAGATACCCCTAGAGCACACGAAAAAGACTAAGATGAAGATATGAATTCAAAGTAGACAGACTGCAAATTATCCTAGTTGCTAAAAAATATATATCTACGTGTCGCAACTGTTCATCAGTAGGATGCCTAAAATGCGTGCAATTCCACAATTGGTTTCGGCTCCATTAAATGTGAATATATGAATGTGAGTTAAAGAAATTTCAAATATCTGAGCTGCAAGAGAAAGATTTAACACGCGAAGGATCATCGCACCTTTTAGGTAACGTTTAAATATAGGATATTTTTGAGAAATCTCTCCGTCCCTTAGTTTAAATATGGGATATTTAAATTTCATACACTCACTTTAAAGACTTAGATTAGCACTGAAACTGCCCTTCACCCTGAACTTGGCTCAAGAATATACCTACCCAATACTGGATCATTACATCTCCGTTTGACCTGAGGTAGAGGGTTTGGGTAAGAATCAAATATGGCATAATCCAGCAGGCGTTCCCTTTCAAACAGCGTGTAAGCCATTGTCAACACCATCGGCATGTGCCACCATACGTAACCTTCATACAGGTAATACTTGATCAGTTTTAACAGGTACAAGAGCCCAGGATCCATGCTGATGATAAACAGCGGTCGCCTCTAGAAAGACACTGCTGCAAGGAGGAATTTTATAATTAGCAAAATTGCTTAATGCAGACACTTTGAGTAACAATACATAGAAAAGAATTTGAATCATAAAAGACTCCTTTTTCGACGCGTCAAACAGACTATGAAGGGAAAATGAAAGTATACGTGCCCTGAACCCGTGCCTCCCACCTCAGCGCTGTGCTGGGTACCAGGAAACAGGCCAGGGAAAAATCAACCCATTTTTTTAAAAGGATATCACTAGTTTTAAATAAAATTACAAATTTTAAAAGCAAAGTTGGGCGCCATTGAAGGTAATTGTATTCTTAGTACAATCCAAATTAGGTGAGATAATTGTAACCAGAAGGAGCAAGAGACGTTTTTTTTTTTCACTTCTCACTTTTCGCCCACTCGCTCAGGCTATCATGTACCCACACGCCTGATCCAGTTCGCGTGTGTATCACTGCGGCTCTACGTAAAAGAAATCAGCGACAGTAGAGTCTTCTCTTATATGGCTCCTTACATAATGGAAACAAGTTTCTCTATCAGACTGTTTTCCTTCCAAACTACGGACACCTGACTATTTCTCTTTCCAGTATCCGCATTAAGGAGGATGTACTGCAAAGTATATTCTTGATATATCAGGCGGTCGATTGAATAAAGATGAGGGAAGGTCGCCGTACTTTTTCGTAGGTTGACATGTGATTTAAGTGTCTCGAAATTAAGATTAAGTATACCAATACACAATGAAATAATGGAAACTAATACTGAAACCAATAATTGACAAAAAACTCAAGTCGCTTTTTTCTCTTCTACTTTATATTACAACTGTGAATAGTCTAAAATATCGTATCTTTTAAAATTTCATTTAAAGCTAACCGTCGATTCAATTTTGAGGAAATCGAGAAACTTACTTTGAAATAAATCTCAGACTACTCACGATAACGTTAATTTTGACTTGGAATCGCAAGATCATCAATTAAGGTTATCTTCTGGGGAAGCCGGGATTGAAGATGTTTAGTTCAGTTGTGTAACCTGATAAGAGAAGCAAGGTTGCTAAAGACCAGAATGGCTTAAGCCATCCAGTTTTTCTAATTAAAATATTTAGTTAACTCGCAATGTTTTGAAAGGCCAGGATCAAACAAACTCAACAGAACACCTTCACAAACGTCATACAAATGGCACTAATGCAACCACTTACGGAAGCAGTTTCCTTAGACAGGGAAACATGAGTTTGTCGATAGATTCTCTTATCAAAAATTTATTTTCAATAAAAGCAGACATATTATAAACGGCTAGAAAGAATAATTAAGCTTGAAAAATGAGGGGACACATAAATTAGAAGCAGTCAGTTACTGTACCTATGAGAAGAGGGTTCTTGTAAAAAATATAGTTATAGATCAATAGCTGCTTCTGTTTTTAGTGACTCTAATTTTGCGAGCTTTGAGGCAAGTAGTTTTGCCATACTTTTGCCCCCATTTAAGGCGAGAATTTCTCTACTTTTTTCAACGTTTCCGGTTTTAAACCCCCAGATTACTGAAATATAAAAATAAAATATTTTTAGTACACACTGACCCCGACTTATTTCACTCTTCTCTAGACTCGACAATTTTGGCCAACTGAAACTGAGTATATCTCATTAAATCACAGTGGTCGATTTTTTCCCGAAATAATAGGACTGCCTTTTTTTACCCCCGGCAGTTTTGAATTCTTTGAGAACGGTTCTGTTTGTAGTAAACAGACTATTGTTTAGTTTCAAAACCATCAGATGTCCTGGCCAATCAATTCCTTTTTTCCTTTTTATTTTTAGTCGAATCGTAGTTACGTATTGAAGTTGAGTACTCACCAGCAATCGGAGAAAAAAAGTCGTGAATTTAACAACTTGGCTTCGATGCTTAGACGTTCTTAATAACCGCTTATCCAAGAAATCTGAGCAGTCTTAAAAAAACTGACGCAAATTTTCAGAAAAGAGCAATTAGAAACTGTGGTATGTATTTCCGGCACTCGTCGATAATTGGCTTTACTGTTCAAATAATTTGTTAAGAAACTTAGTTCCTGCGACACTCAAACAAAAAGCATTGTATAACATAAAAGCATCGTGAAGCTTTCAGTTTACTTACGTCTTTTCTATTTACTGTAAATATCTAATAACGTAAAAAAAGTGTTTCGAGATTGCTTGGCAACATCAAATTACTAAATTTTACGCACTTTCTGACATCATAAAACTTATGAATGCTAACAATCGCCAATCAGAAAAAAAGTTGCACTGATCGGGTCGCTTTTTATATTTTAGAAGAGAGTTTTACCCAAGATCTACCCGGAGCAACTTTGCTTCACTGACGTTACGTTTTGACAAGAGCCATTATCATGATAGTGGCTCTTGCTTTTGAGTAAGAAGTTTTGCAACTTTTTCTGCTCCAGTAAATATGAGGCGAAATTTAAAAAGCATTAAAAATCCTGGCTTACGAATTGGTTCAAAGTTGATAAAATCGCTGATCTGAATGAAAAAAGATCATAATCAAGCATATCGCCAGATTAAACATTTTTCCTTTAAAAAGCTTTAAAACAATAATCATTCTTGTCAATTTGAACCAAGTTTTCGTTTACTTACAAAGAAAACAATTTTTAAAGAAAATCTCTTCATTTTCTAATTGATTAAACGGATTGACAGTGGATGTCAACTAACAAAAAGCCTTATTTGCATCTGTGTTAAGCACTTATAATAACATGGAATCGGGTTCTTAGACTGCTCGTCAAATGACAGTTTATGAGGTTATAAAATTGCATTTTATCCTTTCAAATATCACTTTAAAGCTGTTATAGGCTTTTAGCAGCTATCATTAAGTATTCTGATTTCAGTTTTCCATTTTTGGGCGTTCGAAGTGTAGGAAATTGTCAACGACATCGTATGGAAGACACAATCAGTATTGTCCGCAAAATTAACTTTAAATTAAAAGGCCGAATCTTTTGACCCCAGACGGAAATGGACTCGTTGAAAATGACAATGGTTTTGATTCGTTTCGTTTGGCATACAGTAACATCATGAAATAAGACTTCTTCGAAATAAAATGTTGGTACCACAACGACTCATCGGGAAACGTCACACTCTTTTTTAAGGCTTCCGGTCCAATAAGACACCCTTTTCAGAACTCTAAATAGAGAAATTTTATACTCGCTTAAGACAAAATGGATTGTCGCCCGGGCCTTTTTTGTAAGTGATTAAAAACCCGTAATCACCAAAATACTCTTAACTCGCTAGTGCACAACAAGACAGAGGAACCCAAGCAGAATGTAGTTCAAAACCACTTAAACATAGCATTGTTAAACGTATTTTAGTATTTAAACGGTAGATATAGGCATATTTTTATCCCTCTAAAAATTTCTTATCTGTTCGGATTTCCTAGCTGAAAGTCTAGTGATCCGAAAATTATAGGTATCAAAACTTACCTTTTCGAACATTTCAGCCAGAGAAAAGGCTCCCGAAAATTCTAAGTGACCTTTTTAGTGTAAAAATCTGTTAAAAATGGGCAGTTGTACCATTTCGTAGATGTTCGAAAATCCTATAGGAGAGGAGGGCAAGCAAGAAATTTTACAACAAATGTTCCGAAAATTCTAGATCTCAAATCGTCTTCCAAACAGATATTTTCCGAAAATTAACGTTGCGTGCCCCTGACAAGAACGTTACTCATATCACGTCTAACATGGATCGTGTCTCGAGTCCAGATATAGAAGCAGAGTCATGTTTTTAAGGCCAAATTCAGCGCTGAAGCAAACACCACCATCTCCTTGGTATTACCAGTAACCTTACTCATGCGCACAGCCAAATCAACCTGGCAGCGGCGGCTATGGACAGCTGTTTCGTTCTCATTAAGACTCATCAGTATGGCACAGCCCTAGGTGAGAGGTTTCTTCTTGCTGTCTATCGCTGCCACTGCTCGGATCATATGGCTGTGCGCAAGCGTAAGATACTGGCAATACCGCGGAGTTGGTAGTGTTTGCTTCTGTGCTGAATATGGTCATGTGTTTAAGTCTAGGACCTTTCTCAAGTAACGGCATGTTCGAGTCACAGACCACCCACGTCGACACAGGAGCTTAGCCAAGAATACCACGACTTCTATATTATATGACAAATACACTGACTGTAAATCGACTTGCGGACCTGCTGACGGCGACAACAAAGAGGTCTTTCAAAATTCCTTTAGAAAATAATATCGTTAAACTTCTGTATTTCTATACTACTTTCGAAATGACAGCAATTTTACTTCGTCAGAAGCCCAGACTTCGTATAGACTTTGCATTTGACACCTTCCGAAGATGAAGTAAAATGGCAAAGAAATCGCAATTCAACTTAGCAAATAGGCCTAGTGTGAGATTTTTAACTAACAATTCTACGTATGACATAAATATGATAGGAGGTTACATGTTCGGTTACACCCGCGTGAGTAGCCAAAGGTTGACACTAATCCTAACCCTAACCCTAACCCTGACCCTAACCCTAACCCTAACCCTAACCCTAACCCTAACCCTAACCTTGCCCTAAAACAGCATTTATTTAGGAAAAAAGACAGACCCCGACCCCGTCCCCGACCCCTACCCCTCGTTTTACTGACAACCAGATTTAACCACTACCTGGTTAACTTAGTTAGGAGAGTGCCGGTCTGTTGAGCGGGAGGTCGCGTGTTCAAACGGCCCGGCCGGAACAACACTTTCAATAAATGAGAAGAAAGTGCTGCATTTGTAATGAAATCAGCAACTGCAAACGGTTAGACTTCCTCGTCTGATCTTCTGGGACAAGGACGAAAAACCGTAGGTTCCGTCTCACAGCGCTTTCATTTATCTGGTTCTGGGGACGTAAAAGAACCCACAGCACTGCTCGAAAAGAGTAAGGGACGTAGACCCCGATGTTGTGGCCAATCTTTCTTGGGCTGGGTGGGTTATCTGAAAGGAGAGATCTTAATACAGGGAATAACCCCATCTTCATGTGTCGTAATGGCTACCAGTAAACTGTGTCGACGGTATGTTAAACTGCATAAAAAAGGTTTAATGGTTTTGATTTACGGTCTTTGGCGGGAAAATGTTCCGGACAGATGGTTACCTGCCGCAGAAGATTAACAGCAAAATCCAATTTTTAGTTTATAACATAACGAAATTAATAAGTAATTTTGAAAGAGTATGCAGTAAGAGATTATTCGATTGGTTCAAAAGATATGGCATTTTGTAATTTACCAGTGTCACTAAAAACAGAAACCAGTGGCGTGAAACTGGAAAATCAGGATCACTCATTTTAAATTCTTACGGCGTAATCTTAGAGACGTTTTCCTAGATAAAATAATTAAGATTTTTGGGAAAAGAAATTTCTGTCATTGTACAAAGTTTGAACTCAATCGGAGGAAAATTGCAAAACAAGCTTGGAAACAATTTCGGCTAACCGGGCGTGGAACGCTTCAGCATTTTGATCCTAATGAAAGAAAAAAGCTCCTGATTCGGTTTCGGCACCTGATTGAAACTCGGAAAGAGGTCCAATGTTTTCATGGCTTTCGTTGAATTAAATATACTTCCCGTCACGAACTGTATATTGCATTAGCGACGTATCAGAATAAGTGCAGGTGCAATGTAAGCGCAAACACAAGCCATGTCAAGAAATCGCTTTTAGGATTGCCATTGTTTTTGTGTTTGAGCTCATTAGGTATGCACTTTAGCATGACCGGCCAATTAAATCACTAGTGCCAGCTTCACTCGTATAAGTGCGCTTTCCCGCTATTTTGGCAATGAAAGAATCAAGTCAGGCTTCAATAATAACTTTTGCTCAAAGTTTCAAAGAGAAAATTTAATTGGGTTTTACGGACAACAGAGAACTAGGTGCTACAGTTGTAAAAAAGGGTGTTGCTTTAAAATTGTTTGAAGATGAGTAAGACAGAAACAGCGGAAAAACCGTTCCATTTATTTCACCGTCGAGTACGTAATCACAGCTACTGTTTTTGTTGACTTCGTTAGATCCTCGTTATCAAGCTAAAAAACTGAGAATTTGCTTCTCCATTCGAAAGTTTAAAAATTATTGTGTCTAAGCTTTTGCTTTTCGTCGAGATCCGTTTTCACTTGAACAAGACTCAAATGCGTGCCATTCTGTTTGCATTTATGCTTTTATTTTTAATGATAAGGAGGCTTAAGGTCCGGTCTATGGCCTTATTATCACAGGTAAGATCGTTATCGACCTTTCAGAAGCCAAACCTTCTGTTAGTACCTTAGTATTAATAAGATCAGAAGTTTCACTTTCGCTGAACCCAAAAGGTACTCTGATCTGCGGCCAATATAGAAACTATTTGTAGACAACAAAAGAAGACTGATTTTCGTTTGCTTAAAACAAATAGACAAAATATTACAGAGAAACGTGAACGCCACTGATAAAAGAAATCTATCTTGGTAATCGTTCAATGCAATAAAATAAAGTTCTTTGTTTTTAAGAGTTACCATTAAATACACTTACCTGACCTCGTGGTAACGGTTTTTGTGGTGGAAAATTAACTCTTCTGTGGGAAACTTTATCGAGTTTACTGAAAGGGTAACACATACATGCAATACATTACATATTTCTGAAAGAAATTTTATGAGTTAGGAGTTGACTTTCGGTTGTTGCATGGGTTGTCACGGCAACTTCTTGTGCTCTGAGATAATGTATCTCAGAGTGATCGTTTATTCTTTAATCCACTCTCTACCACAATTAACTACCATCTGTGGACATGTGAACTGGCACAAAAGTAAGCGCACAGAATCACAATTTTAGCAAGAAGAGTGGAGAAATATACTTTGATAGCGTAAATGCTTAAAGGATTACTAATTACATTAAGCCCGAAAATAAATAGGAGTTCGGCATTTACTTTTCCTTTCATTAGCTGAGCCGGTTATTGTTTTCAAATTGGTCTACTTTATTTGTAAACCAAACTCAGTAAGTGGCTTTTTGTTCTTTTCTTATGAACACATAGAGAGACGAATTCTGACAATTACGAGAAGCGCGAGGGGTGATGGGAAAGAGAAAACAGGGCAGCGGACTGGGGAGTGGTTTTCCTTCTTCCCATCACCTCTCGCGCTCCGTCATCAGCGTGCATTCCAAATAGAGACCACTGAGGGCGAGTCTGGCAGCGGTTGTTGAACCGATATATAGCGCTATCCACCGGATAAATCACTACCCTGTGGATAAGCATTAGGTAGACCAGTTGCGCTATTCATTGGATGCGCCATTTTCACATAAAATAATGCACCTTGTTAACCCCCCCAACATTTTGCGTAACCATTGTTTCCAATTTCTCCTGGGCATAACAGACGTCCTAAGAGGAATCGAAGAAAATGGGTGTAAAGAAATGGGTTGGGAGATTTGCGGGGGGGGGGGTGGGGTAAACAACGTGCATTATGCATTATGGTCTATGTGAAAATAGTGAATAGAGATTTATCAGGCAGTGGATAGCTTTATCCACCTTTCGTGCAACTGTACTCAGCTATCGTTCAGCAGTAATATGAAGAAAAATTCATCCAACTAGTGGTTTATAATTTTGACAAATGAAAGCTAAGATGGACTCCACTTTTCCAAGAAAATCGCATTTAGTGATAAGAAACATCCTCGGAGCAGAAGTCCGCAACTATATTAAGTCCTTCTGACTTCAGCAGTTTGAACTTGTAATTGATGGCAGAGTTTTCCGAACGCACGTATATTGCTTTTTAAATTAATTATTAGAGCACATTTAGCTGTGATAACACTGTCTATAAATCGCTTTCAGTAAACCTAGCCCTGAAATCAAATGTTCTATTTTTCGATTTTTCTGGAACTAGCTCAGTATAGATTTCGCTCAAACTCAGCCGTCGCTTTGAAAACGAATCCTCATGAGACAAAGTTCGTCATAAATCACTGCGCCTGTAATAACAACGGAGTCACCCTTACAGATCTTACAGGGGCCCACACTCGTTCCCAGAGGCCGCGATCCTTTTATTCAGCGACAGGGATAGGGACTTCAGTAGCGCATGACAAAAGGGCCCCTTGGGGACGAGGTCGACAGGGGCCTTAACACTTTGTTGTTACGCGCAGACGCAATTAAGTTGACGGGAAACACGCATTCATTTTGAATTAAAGCGGTAAAGCTGAAAAATCCTCGAAGATAACGCCACACCGCAACGGACGTTGGAAGTTTTTGACCGGTTAAAATTTCGTGCGTCTGGATATTCCCTTATCTCGCTAACTGTACAAACATTTAGACGCCTATAGCCGTTCAAAAATTCGAACGCCAAAATCGAGGTCAGACTTTTAGCCTTTGCGATCGAAAATTTGACAGGCCTTTTGTACACAAAAGGCGTGGTTGCATGGATACAGTTAGGATTTGCTAAAGTGGCGCTCTGTGCATGGCCAGATGGTAAAGTCACTGAAAAAGTTCAAATTCAACCTGGTTCATCATTTCCGTGTTATTAGAGTGAAAATATTGAACGGTTCCGTTTGAACTAAGTGTCCGGTCAAATCCTTTAATAGGTCGAAAAATTTGTCCAGTGCGGTGTGAAAGTAGCCAAAGATGAAACTGTCATGGCTGTTCACATATCGTTCTTAGGAAAACCACCCAAAGTTCCAGTGCACAAAGACATGACAGGGCTTTGCTTCACTCGTTTGGAGTGCTGGATACAAATGCCCTGCGGCAGCTGGGATGGATACAAACCAGTAACCGTTTTAAATTATCCGCTTCCTAATGCAAAGTTACAGTATTTGGAAAGCCAGATCACAAAATGACTACAGTAAAGAAGACAATTCAGTGGTAAGAATTGCAAAACTTACCAAAACATACACTCAGAACATGTACGTTGAGAGATGTTAAAGCACCCCGACTTTGAGTAGAAAGGACAGAAAAACTACTTGTAATAGAATAGGTGTAAAAGTCCCATAATAGTGTAAACTATGAATAATTGAATTAAATAGGATTGATCAGCGAAACAATGCTTCGCACGTGCATCTTTCTTCGGTGGTGCATTTTTGTCGTTTTTTGTAGTTCTTTGTAAGCAACAAAAGAACATCACAGTATGAAGCAAGATTTCATAAGGCCCGTTTACTCGGACGATTTTGTTGCTGTTATTGTGAACAAGAGCTAAGATTTTAGGCCCAATCAGTTAAAAAAAAAAAGACCTGGCGGCGACGTCAAGGTGACGGCGTTTGGAAAAGGGCAATTGCAAGGTTAAATGTTCCACTGAAAGAAATTTACATCTGCACGCAGTTCATGTATGATTTATTTTAGATTCTTTGCCTACAGCAAAAGTTATTGTTTCATCCTCTTTGTATCTTTTAAAAGTTTCACTTTAAAAAGAAAGTCTCACTTTAGCCATCTAGAATCCAGAGATCCCCAAGTCAATCTATACCTCTATACCCCTGAGACTGGATATCAGTATCAGATGAAAGTCTTCATCTCCTGTTTGAAATCTTTGGACCAATTTCACGGCTTTGGCTTAAGCATCAACCGCGTCCCTGGGGACAAGGCTGGGTACTCATCCAAAGGTCACTGGCATCTAAGGGGCCGTGTCACGGCTGTTTCACTTCATTTAATAGGGAGCTAAAGCAACGACAACAGCGACGCCAACGAAAACGGCAAAAAGCAATAGGTTTAGATTTGGCAAAACAACAACTTTGCACGTCGTGCATCACTCTTTTTTGTACATTTCTTTGCCGTCACTGCACAACTACGACGTGAAAAAGCCTATTTTCAGGATTTATGGTGGACTCGAACACAAGACAACGACGGCTTTCTTTTTCTTTTCCTGACCTTCAAGAATTCATGCAGCTCCAGAAAAAAATTGCCAACATTTGACGAATTGAACGAGGTGGAATAAGCGCGATAAAGTTTGAAGCAGCGCGACTTGACGATAATTGATTGAGGTTTTCGTAGCCGTTGCCGTCCTTGTTGCTTAAGCTCTCCAATATTGTTGATAATGCCAATAACGTGTCCTTATTCGCTATGGAACTTGACAAACAGGACCATGACGGCAACGGCCTACAAAACGTCGCTTAAAAAGTGAATTTGCGTTCTTTTAATCTCTATCGCGATTACTCCAACTAATTTACTTTGTCAAATTCAAGCGAACTCTTTTTAAGCCGAATTCCTAAGAATCATATTCAAGTTCAGAAACAGAAAGAAAAATAAGCGGTCACTTGTTTACGTCCTCCATAAAACGTGAAATTAGGCATTTTCCCGTCGTAGTCTCCATTTGCTGGCAGTTTCCATCGTTTCAGTTTTGATAAATTTCGTGACACAGCTTCTTTTAAAAACACAGAAACCTTCGACATGAATTACACTACGCTGCAGATTTACAGCGTCCGTTTCGCAGAGAACCGTACTCTAATATAATTCTTTAAATTTCCACATTGGTAGTTTAGCTTAGTTCTTGTACTAAGTGCAGTAGGGCAGGTTTTAAGAAGACGTTTTCGTCCACTTGTCCTTGAGCTGCTACAATGTCTCTCATAACACTTGGATCCCATTTAAAATTCACCAGAGCCGCAGGTACCTGTAGTAAAAAATAATGCACCCTAATGAGCAGAGGTTTATTCGCTTTAAAATCGCGGGGAAACTAATGGTGACGTCGCGAATGTCCGCTGTTTTCACAGGCTATTTCTTTAGTTGCCAGCACATTCAAAATCGAATCTCGATTCCAAAGCTTCGATTCTTGAGCAGCTCGAATCTTGATTATCCGATCAAAGCCAACATTTTAACTCAACTACTTACCAAACCAAGGTCCATAAGTATTGCATTTTCATCTGTAAGCTGCCCAGTGGCTTCCGACAATACAAACGGTTGCCAGTCGGACACGAGTGACTGGCGAACAAACTCGAACACATCCCGAAGTTTTTCGCGGGAATAAAACGTACCTACCAAAAAGAAAACAGTAAGAAGCATTCATTATCCACATTATGTTGAAAACTAAAACGCGTAAAAACGAGTGGATTTACATGCAGTATATTTGCATGTACCTTGAAGAATATAACCGTCAGGAAATCGAACCCGTATCAAGGTAAAACGGTATGTCTTGGAAGGGCGCTTCTCGGCCTCACGCATTGCTCGGGTTCTAAGCTGACTGCTGCGTTCAATTTCCTCAGTTCTGGTAAAAAAGGGAAGAAAATCAATTTTATAGAGATAATTCACGTAAACTAAAAACAGCTCCTGTCACTCACGGATTTTCCAATACATGATCACAGATACAAGTATACATGATTGGTTCTCACTCAAACTTTCGTAGAAAAGTGACAAAAAGTGGCCAAAGGTCTTTATAGGTTCGAACACTGTTGGCAAAACATGGCGATTTTAATTTTTGCTGCATGACCTTTATCACTAACCGAAGAAGCATCATTCGCATATTCAGGCTTAAAATTCACCCTGGCTCACATTTATATCAATGCCATTTGCTCATATGCCGCCTATCGACATTTCAGTCCTTGCAGATGCAGCATATTGTTAAATAAATTTACGCTGAAGGACTTAGTTCCCCCTTAGTCTCCTATAGCTCAGTGCTAGAGCATCTGGACTAGAAACCAGAAGGTCACAGTTCGACTCCTGTGTTCAGAGAACTTTAATTTTTTTTTCCGAATCACATGGATAACTTATTGACGAAATACCACTGTCCTCGTTCCTTTCAGTTGGTTTTGGTTATACATCAGCTCAATGAAGACCAACCAGCGCAGAAACAAATGTAATACAGTCGTTTCCCGATAACTCGAACCCTCGTTAACTCGAACCTCGCGCTAACTCGAACCAAAATCGATTTCCTCTGGATTTACGTCATACGTTCACTGTAATTTTACCTTCGGTAACTCGAACCCTCGATAACTCGAACTCCCGGTAACTCGAACCAATTTTCGTTTCCCCTCAGGTCATTTTCTGTATAATCTTACCCTCGATAAGTTTTGAACCCTCAAAAAGTCGGGAAAAAACCGTCTACGGGCGTCCGAAACATTGAATTTTGGATTTCCCATTGACGTGTTGTAGGAGTATAGTTTACTAGTGGAGGCTGATGTTGATTGTCACAGGCTAACGTGAAGCAGCTTTTCTTCTCAAAACAGTAAAACGCATGCTCTATTTAGGCTATGTTTTGTTACGTTACGTTCTGATTTATATACTAGAAGTATCTTTTAATTTTCACTTGACATTTCTACAATTAAATGTGATTAAAATGTTCACTGTGCAGTAAAAACTGTTTTTTTTTACCTTACTCTCGGCTATTTTCTTCGAAATCCCGTTAACTCGAACCTTTTTTCGATTTCCCTTGAAAGTTCGAGTTATCGGGAGTTGACTGTAGGCCACACAAATTATTATCACGCGCTGTGACATAACCTGTGATGGGAAGCAGGTTGTGAGAATAATAATTTGAATCAAGTCCTCCTTGGAAGTCAGAGCCACGATCCACGCAGGCCTTTGTTGGTTTCTAGAGTTACCCCTCCCACCCCTGGGCACGATACTCATCCATCACTGCCCCTCCCCCCACAGCATGATTTCAATGGTAACTAATTAGCATACACCTGAGCAGAAAAAAAAAGAAAGATTAGAAAATGTGATACCTTGAAAGCTGTTCTCTTTTAACTTCATCAGCCGTCTTGTTAAAGAAATCACTGGGAACTTCAAAACGGCTGGCATGACTTGAAGGTTTGTACACCTAAAAAATCGTAGTTACAAACAACATTTAAACTGTTGTGAAGTATATATGAAATAATTCATTTTTGAACTGCGGTTGTAGATGAAAGTGAAGAATGATCATCGCAGTTAAGTAGGCCAGCAGTGCACCTTTTGATTTCCATACCATACCCCAGACTGCCCTCTCTTCAGAGTAGAACAAACCTATGCGACCTGTATATGACAGTTCCCCCACTTCCCCTTCCCCCTTTGAAACTAGTTCTACAGATTCTATAGGCGAATCTTTACTGCGTTATAGTTGACATTGTTGCTTATTTGTATACGAGTTAACCCAAAGACTGCGCCAATATAATATTAGACACAAATTTAATTCAAAAGTTGAAAGAGTTGGTTAATTTGAACATTTTGTGCAATTTTTAGCTCTTTGCAAGCAACAACAAAGGAAATAGCCACCATTGGAAATTGCAAAATTGTTGGGTAGCAAAAACGTTAATGAGCTCATACATTTTTTTAAACTTTGGAGCTTTTTCAAAGATAATTTCTCTGAAACTATTCGGTATACCGGGCTGAAATTTTCACAAATAACTGAAGTTGTTATGCCCTTTTTTTTGTTCGGAGAGTTTTTTGTAATAGCTTGATCAGAAAATGAAAGGCTCATGCTAACGAGGCAAAAAGTGTAAATATAGATTGGCCTATAAATGGGGTGATCAGTTGTGATCCACTGGTCTGCACCGCAATACACCGATACATGCATCGTGCATGCTTAAGTACGAAGCAATGACAAACCTTTAAGCATCGATCAAGCTTGGGCTTCAAAGCTTCACTAGAAAGTAAAACTTCCTTGAACATTTTCAGATGTTCGCTATCAGAGCTTTTCTCCTTGGGTAATACAAAGAATCTGTCTTCAGAGTCTGGCAGGTAAATATGAGAAAAGTAAAAAAATCTTGCTAAAAAAAACAACCATATACACACGTAAATGAACCATAGCAGCTCTGCTCTTTGGGTTACAGACATAAATTGGCAGCAAAAACTTAAAATGGAGAATCAACTCTAGCAAAATAGAACGAATCTCAAAGATACTAAGAAAAATAAAATCAATGTTATTGTTACTACCATCTGGTCTAAACAGTCTTTGCGCTGTGCTCGGACAGATCACTCTAAATCATTCCTAAGCACAAGCACAGACTTGGAAGGATCAAAATATGGATGCACTTTTCACAGTTTAGCTGAGTTTTCAATATTTATTGAAGAGCACATACATCTTAACAGAGGAAAAAAATACCGAAAAAAATACAAACAAAAGTAAAACAAACAAACAATTAACTGTAAGAGCCATAAATAAAATGTGCAGGAAACATTCCCCTTTATCTCTGAAGTTCATTCAGTGACCTGCCATTCTAGATCAAATTGCACGCAGGAAGTCTTAATCTTAATTCCTCAAAAGTTTAAGTGCCTCTTTCTCAGACTGACTGCGCACAACTGAAACTGTCTCTGGGTACCACAACAAGAGTATACCTTCAACAGGAAGAACTTTATCTTCAAATCCACAGGCAAGAAGAAATGGTACGGCTCCTTTGATGGGCATCACACGCTCCTGCATAAAAGAACAAAATGAACTAACAAATTCACACAAGAAATGCAACTAACAGAGGGACAATGTTGAGTGCTACACAAGTAGGCCATGATCGAGTAATGATTTCTTGAGCAATGAATCACAAATTAAGCTTAAGTATGTCAGATTTTAATATACATTGACCTTCTGCAAAGCATCAGAGATGAGTAGACATGCTGGTACCTACACCCATCATAGTTTGCTTACTTTGTTGCTAAAGCACGTTGTCTAGTTTCCTTTTTTAACCAGTAAAATTTCTAGATCTTGGATCTTCTTGAGTGAAAATCTCACCTGAAAAACTTTATTGCTTTGCTTTACTTTCTGAAACTTTTCTTCATCAGGATTTTTGCAGATATTATCAAGGTACCTATTCAAGTTAACAAGATTACAAAACATATTCAGTAAAAGTAATTACCGTATTAGACCTAATGTATTATCAAGCTACTGCTGAGTTACCTTGGTGAAGATGTCTCCTACAGTGTATTTCCTTTGTTCCTTGAGCTCAAAGGACAGAGGAGACATCTGCATGTAGGTTAGCTACTACTGGTATGCATACTACACAGCATGTTTGCATGGCTTTACATGTACCAGATTTAAGCAGTTAAGCAGTGTAGCAGCACATGTATGCTGCATGGTAATGACATAGTAGTAAGTTGTATTAAAATATGGCCATTATTTATCATCAGTATGTTGCTGGTTACTTTAAGTTTTTTTTGTGTCCCAGATATATGGGAGAAATTGCAAAGTAAATTGTCTTGTCTAAAGAAAATATGCAATGAAACAACCAAGGCTTCCTACATGTTAACCTCCTGATAAAATATTTTATACTAGAATGCAGTTGAGCTACATGTAACTTCCAGTAACTATGTTGATTACCATTGGCTATGAAAAAATTAAGGAGTACCTTATGAGCTGATTGCTTTAATTTCTTTCTTACCTACAAAGTACGTCAACACAAGCCTTCACTTTGTCCTTGTCTTTATTAAGTGAATAAATCATTGAGCATGAGGTTGACAAAGCTTCTTCCTTGTAATGCTGAAATTAATACACATAGTATTACTATTCAGAAAAAGGAAAACTCCTTCAATAAAGTGAGCACAACAACTACAACACGGTAAAATAATTTAATGCACAATAAAACAATTTACAGTAGTTTTTATGGTCAATTATTATTATCATTATGAATTTGTATGACATACTACATAATGAGCTCATCAAAAATATATCAATCTTATTCAATGACATCAAAATGTTGTTACATTGCAAGAGCTATTATAATAAGAGAATGTATTCTCTCACTTGCAAATCTTACTTCCCCACAAAATCACAAATAAACTTTAGCTCTTAACCTACATTTTAAGAACACATTATTTACCTTCTCAAGACACTGTGCCAGATGTTTATCCATTTCTCTTTGTAAAGTTGAGGCTGGACAAAGAGGACAACTGAAGTAGACTCCTTCATGAGCTTGTACAGTTGAACAATCAACTTCAGTTGGCTGTAGGTAGAAATCAAGTTTAGGGTCGATGACTTTGGTAAGTGATTCCTAACTGACTCCTCAGATGAGGACCCACTAACCAGCTACACCAAATCTTGACATAGCATTTTATTTCACAAAAAAAAGCTGCGGCCCAAAAGCTCCTAACAATGTGAGGTTGTTAATAAATACATGCAGGGCTGCATATAACAGCCATCCTTCGCTCATTGTCTAAAACATGACCTATATCCAACGAAATCCTTCTAGTAGTTGGATATGATGACTGGACTAATAAAATTCTGTTCACAGGTTATCATTTTGAAGCTATAAAGGATTTAAGTTTTACTTAAAGAAATACTATTATTGAAAGTCAATATGCCTGAGAACTTTTCTGGCTTGTCTGACTGAAATGGTGATCTTGTAAGGTTTATTAGACGTTCATCTTCATGCCAACCCTGACTCAGAGCCAGAAAATTAATAATCCACATCCAGGGAAATTACATGTACCGGTAATCATAACAACGTCTCACCTCAGCTGTAGACTGAGGTACATTAACTGGTTTTCTTGCTTGGGTAGCTCCATCGATCAACATCTCATGTCTCACTAAAATATGCATGAAACATTTGTCACAGCATAACCCTGGCCTTGGTTGTTCAAACCTTGGATAGCGCTATCCACCAGATAAATCACTACCCAGCGGATAAGGATTAAAAAGGAAACCAATATTATGTTACCCACTGGATACAGATTTATCCGGTGGATAGCATTATCTTACAAACAACTTGGCCCTGAGTATCTAAACTGTGCAGTCTGCAGTGGAGAGTGACACAAAATAGTTTATGAATTACCATTGAATATAACTTCATGTCCTGACAATATTAAAAGTATTGATCTCTAAATGACTCACAGAAACTACCCACCCAACCAAATGGCAGCTAAAGAAGACTAGTTACTTTTTACAAGGGAAAAACAAAGCAAAACAATAACTAAACAACAATTACTACAACAAACACGTAAAACAAACGTAACACTATTTTATAAACAATATCCTAATTAACAATAAACACATTTCTAAATTAATAATATAATTAAATATATATATTAATCACATTACAATATTTTATAATTCAAAGATTCATCAAAGAGCGTTTCTTTCAGTAAATCACCTTCTCTCTTTAACTTAGCAAGGTCCAGAGCATCACCAGAGCTTGATCCTTGTGATGCTGCTGTTGCTGGCTCTCTGCTCTTCCATGTTGCTGTTGCTGACTTTGGACGTCTCACTGCATTTTTTTCATAACTAGAAAATCTCTCTAAGGCAGCCTATTAGTGAAATTAATAATAACTATTATAACTTTGACGCTCCTTAATGTACATAAAAAACTGTGACATTATAGAGATATCTATAAAACAAGAGAAAGAAACTGTCCATGATTAAACATAATTATGTTACAAGGCAAAATTATCTTCAGGCTAAAATTTTTTCAACCAGATTGATGCTCTGTTTTCTTGTCTCCTAGGCCTAATTATTCATGAATTAGGTCTAAGAGACAAAGTAAATTGACCTAGGCTAAAACATTTTAACCTGAATATAATTTTGACCTGTAACACACACACAAAAGGTCAACAGCTGCCTATACACCTCATACATACATAATAACCCACCCCTTACACCCATGTGGGAACACACTGTTTGTAATCCTGTCACATGTTTTGCTCATGGCTCATGCATCTACTGATTGAGCAGTCTGAAGATGATTTGAAAGACTATCTTGTTTGTTACTTTAAATCTGTAATCAAAACCTTCCTTAAGTCAAGAGAGCAATACCATCTCTCAACTCTGCTATAATAAAATTCCAGAAGTAAGCTATTTCTGAACAAATAAACAGAAACTTTTCCTTACATATATTCCAGTAAAATCATGGGTTTTTGGACTAGCATAGTACACTGATCTTAAACTGCAACTCACAATTTTTCATGACGTGAGTCGCAGGATTGATTAGAGCATTGATCAAAAGAATTAAATGTCCATACTCACCTGGCCTGCTCTTTGTGCATCTGAGCTTGGTACAGTTCTGGAGGCTGGAGTTTGTGAAGTAGAAGCCTGTTGTGTTGATGATGATGATGATGATGATCCACCCTCCAAGGTATGTCCCTCACCAGCCTTTTTGAACTTATACTCAAGTTTGGCTTTTTCAAATAATTTCTTCATTTCTACCCCTTAACAAGGCTATAGCCCAATTATCTGTTTACGTCAGATGGAAGCAAAAGCGTTTGGCTTAAAACAAGAGAAAGATAGAAAAAATATGTGAGATATTCTCTGACTGAATTGTGTGATGACCAGATGTTTGCAAAATGTCATCAGCTTGGGAGTAAATGTGTTAAAAAAGTTTTGAGTTTTGTCAAATCATTAAGTGGGCTCAATTTCCGTTATTCTCTCTAGGGGTTTTCCTAAAAGTGGGCCCATGGCCCAGTGGCCTGGTCATGATTTTCAACAGATTTTTGTTTTTTTAATAGGGCTCAAAACAAACTTGAATTCCAGCTTGTCCTTTGGGTAGGCAGCTCTCACATTTTGCTTGCCTGGAACCTCTTCTTGCTTGTCTTAGTTAATGATTTAGTTAGAGGATGACATGCCTGAACCCTGGCCATTGGGCAAGTGAGCTTCAGAAGTCACTGTAAAATTCCGAAAATAAGCCCCTCCATGTACAAGCCTCCCCAAATATAGTATGCCCCCCCAAAACATGTAACACAAAAAACCCTCCGTTAAATTGCCCCTCTGAATATAAGCCCCACTGGGGCTTGCATAAGCCCCTTCAATTTAAGCCCCAAAATTCAAAAATAAGTTTGAAAAATAAAGCAAAAACGGAATTTTACGAAATTTCCCAGCAACTGATCTACTACTACCCAATTGATTGAATAAAACCTTGTCACGGTTTCCCTCCATCTTGACATAAGCCCTTTCGAAATTATAAGTTTGTATGAGAATCTAAAAAATAAAAAGCCCCTCTGAAAAAAATATCAATTGGCCTTTGAAAAATATATTGTCCCTTTTGGGGCCTGTAATTTTCCAGAGGCTTGCTTTAGATTTTCCATATATTTGTCTGTAATTTTCCCCGCACTTTCTTACAGACAAATGATCTAAAATTTTCCTGGACTAGGTCCTCTAGTGCATCTACTTTTCTCAAATTTTTTCAGGAGAATAAGATAAGCATATTTTGTTCAGAACAGCCGCTCTCCCCACTCTGTTAAATTTTGTTTGAATGAAATGCACATATTTTTTCATTAATGTTTTTGGTGAGTTTGATCACAGATCATACTTTAGATAAAACAGAATGGAAAGAGAGTGCAACAAGACAGTAAGAGAATTTTCAAAACAAAATAAAATATAAAGTAATCACTGGGAGAAATCAAAATAAGTAAATATTAATATCATTAAAACAGTTCAGCTTAGATTGGCATACTGGCTGCAAATAGTTTTTAGCAATTTTACCACTTTCACTATGAGTAGAATTTAGCAAATTGAATGTTAATATGCATGGCTTTATAGTTCTAGCTTACTTTGTTTATTAATGCTTTACGCCCGGCACACCAATTCCATATTCACAGGACATAACATGTCGATCGAAATCGATCATCGGAAAGCTAGGCGATAAGTCGATAGTGCTGGATAATTGTCGATTGATTAGTTTAATTTGTCGATAAAAGTCGATAATCACAAAGTTCTCAGGGCTGGCTATCGATTTGTATTGACTTTTATCGACTTCTATCTACATCAACATGTCAAGCTCTAGTTACAGTGCAAAATAAAACATTGAAACATACATAGCTCTACATATGATCGTTTTTTATCTTTCGATAATTACAAGAAATTTTGTGATCGACTTTTATCGATTTCCGATATTTGTCGATTATTTAGTATCGACTTTTATCGACAACGATCGATTTTTAGCGACTATCGGAATTATCGACATGTTACGTCCTGATATTCAGTTGTAAAGCTTATTGTAAAATTTATCAGAGTGATTTTGGCTTTCGCATCTTTAAATTAAGCAATCGTTCACTACCATGACGTTTTTAAGTTATAACTTAGTATAACACTTACAAAACAACGGGTACCTTTTCCATTTTAACAAGAATCCCTCAACCTTCACTTTCACGAGTTTCCGGCTGCTCGAGTTTCTTGGAAGTTAGAGCGGGCGCAAGCCAGCGGTCATTAGAGAGAGGCATGAGCATCGTATCTATACTCCAGTCCTCCTCGACTTTAAGAAATCAAAATGGCGGCACAGACGGGTGATTCGGAAAGTCTCTTAAATCAGGCGGACAGCATGTGGAAAATGCTCGATGATCTGGTAGAATCAGATCCCGAAGCATATAAGAGATTCATGGAGAAGACGTTGAAGGAAGGATCTACTATGTTTAAGCCACCAGAACCTTGTTTTTGTGTTATAACTGTATTGGTAAGTGTCGTGTTCAGTGTACTTGAAATATAGGTATAAGGTCAGGGTTCTATCTAGAGTATTTGAGGGGTAGAAGTTCCCCCCTCCACCAAAATGCCCTGCCTCCCCCCAAAAAATATCGGAGCTAAGTGTAACATTTTGTCAGAACGTGATCACGACTAAAAAATAAAATAAAATACCACTGTAACATTTCTCAAAATTGGGTCTCAAAATGCACCAGATTGCATCTCAGCGCATATTCATTTCAAAACATTTCCGGGGGAGCATGCCCCCGGACCCCCCTAGGAAGCTCGTGGCCTTCGCCCACTCGGGACTTCTCCTCTTCTCTTCTTCTGCTAGATAGAACCCTGAAGGTATAAGATTGAAATTGCATTAGGGTCTGTCGAAGTTGATATCTTTTAACGCAGTCACGTCCTTTACAGCCCCAACAATGAAGTGGATACTGATACTTGTACTACGGATATTCTTTTTGTCCTTCTGTTGTTTGAATTCTTCTCTATGATTTGACTGATGTTTTATGTATTTGTTTTAATCAGTTCTCTCAGGTGTATTTACTTGCATTGAGTGTTTTTGTTGTAAATAAAGACATGTCAAATCCCAAAGCGCATGTGTGCTGTGGTCAAGAAAGAAATCAAGAAATCAATAACAAATCAATATTAAGTTGATATTTAATATTTATGAGTTCACCTCGTAATCAACAATAAATTTGACCTGCATTTAAGTATAATTTATGCATTTACTTGTTATAACTCCTGCAGACAGCTAGCCTGCATTGCAGATGTAATTTAACCTCAGTTAGTAACGTCTGTGAGGCAGTGCCAAAATCCTTGTCCTGGGCCCCCAATGAACTCAACAAATTACCAGAAGTGCATTTCAAATTTTATTTCATCCTGATTGGCAAATCCACAGTGGCTTTTTTAAATCGCTAATCATGGCGCATACTCAAATCCAAGTCCTAGGATCTCAAATTCCATGGATAGCAATTTTTCGGTTCCGTGCCAGAGATCATGGGAAACCATTAGAAACAATTTTTTGGTTCTGTGAAAATTCATGGCAACCCACTTTTATCTCTTGTAATATACGGTAACAGTATCTGTTTTCTGGAAACATGTTGTTAAACATGCGTTAAAATTAAAGAACATCAGTGTGTACTATTCAGATTTACAAGAAAATTCAATGTCTATTAAACTGTCAGAAGAAGGTCAATTGAAGTGATGTGTGTGCACTTAAGTGTCAAAAACTCCAGACTCCTCTTTGCCTCATCTGAAGAAGTAACTATACTTGAAGTGTTTGCTACAGATCTTGTCTTTTCATAAAGAGATTCGGGCCTCATCATCAGTTTGAACAGTGAAATTGTCACTAAAAGACTACATTCTAATTGTTTTTAGACTTTTGGAGTCATATTTTTTTTTCTTGGCACTGGAAACCATAACAATCGCTGCTGCTAGCTATGAAACATCTTTCATGCGTGAGTCATCAATAACATGCAATGCACTGTGGGAATGATTCAAGATGGTGAACGATAGAAGAATGGTAACATTTTTTAAAGTTTTCGTTTATACACAAGCTGAGTGATAAAGAATTGCTGTACTAGTTAAGAATCCAAGTGGAAAAATATTATATTTGCGTGTTTTGATACCTCTGAATATACCAGGACATGTCACCGGGAAACTATTTTTTGGTTCTGTTATTTTAAGATCATGGTAACGACACGGTACTGGAAATGATCGTTACCGTGACATCCTAGGGCTTGCAAATCCTGGTACACAGATGGGGCCCATAAAAAGGATTTTGACATTGTTTCGCAGATGGACTTAACCAGAATTTAGTGTCATCTGTGGGGCAGGATAGCTGACAGCCAAATGAAATATATTTTCAGCTTCCATCAGTGATTACACATGAGCTGTTTATAAACATCTGCAGCTGGGAACAAATGCCTGCCCCTAAATTGGAAAATGATCCTATTCCTGTGATGGCAGGCGAACTTCAGGAGAAGACAGAACAGAATTCAACATATTCAGTAGTGGACATTATTGTTAATCCTGTTGTCACCAAAGGTGTTGCAAAAAGCAAGGATCGTAAGAATCTGCTTGTTAATGTTGCATTGGATTACTTAGAAAACACAAAAAGAATTCAAGTTTCAAGAAAGTATAGAAACGCAAAAAAGACCTTCAAAGGTGATCCAAAGACCCTGAGAAAATACCTACGACATGGAAAAGAGCAAAGCACAACTCCTACCAATCAAGAACAACAAAAGCCAGGAGTGTCTGAAACTCCAGAGTCATTACTGAAGCAACTTTCGTCAATAACAGTTTCTGAGAGCCAGCCTGAAGGCAGCACAGGATTAAATTTGTTCGAAAAATCAGCAAATCCAAAGAAAGGCTTAATCGAGGAAGTGTCATCTACAAACTTCTCAGAAGTTCCAGTAACACCAAACTATGACATGTTAGTTAAGGAAGCAGAGAACTCCAAACCTAAACGAGTTCTTGTTAAGGTGGAGTTGCCAAATGTAGTATCATCCTCTCAGTGCCTACTGGATGTCTGTGAGGTAATAACTGATGAACTCATAATGTTACTTATATTTGATTTTTGTACTTTAAAATGATAAAAAGTCTTTCAGATTCATTCTGCCCAGTTCGTCAGAGATGGGCAAACTTAAGACAGAAAACTGCTATTTGCAGCTCTGCTGGTTTGATATCTAGCCTACTTCAAACAGTTCACAGTCCCTCAGGATTGTCATGTAGACAGAAGTGACATTGTCTGCTTACAGTCAAGTTAGGTCAGGCCTACCTCCCAAGAATCCATTATCCATTTATGACTCGAAAGTTGAATCTGTTGCTAGTTGTAGATTTCAGATTGATCTCTGCATTCTTGCATGCATTATGGGTGGTGAATTCACACGCAAGGCAGTTTTGAAATTTCTTCATGCTCAGTTTTCCTGAATTTGATATAAATGTCTTCCAAGAAACTTAATCCAATCAAAGATTTTCAATCTGACCAAGTACAGAGAAGTTCTTGTAAAATATTCACGGCTCATTAAGCATGCAGGAATGCCGCTTTGAATTGGACAGAAGATACTGGAATGACTAACGGCTTCATTTTTCAAATAATCATTTCATTAATAGAATCTTGGGGGGTACGCTTGACCTGCCTTGACTGTAATTGCCTTCTCTATGTAATGACAGGTAGCCTTTTCAGATCATAAAAAAGGTGACTGCGTTGCCTTCTTAGAACTACCTAGTTCCTCATGTCGAAGCTTTTTCTTTTCTTTGATCTTAGTTTTGACCAGAAAAACCCATCAACTTTTAGTAACTCGTTTTATTTTCCTTCTTTAGAGTGAACTGCTGCTGAACGTGCCAAGTATGGATAAACTTCATGTTAAGCTGCCACAAAAAATTGATCCAGACCAAACTGAAGCCACCTTCAATACGATCAAACACGTGCTAATTGTCAAACTTCCAATTCAATCTTAACTTCAACATTAGAAATAGATGTAAAGTTGATGTCACCACCAATTTTTGTCATTATTTATGCTATCTTTCTGAGTCTTGTCTTAAAGAAAATGAACCTTCTTTAGCCAGCTGCAATTCCATCCAGTTTGACAGACATTGATTTGTTGGAGATTTCCATGTCGGCTTTCTCGACACCTCAACGAATTGGAAACCTTTCTAAGATGAACTCTATTAGCTGGCTGGTCTTTACCCGATCCAACTTGAGTCATTGTTTCTACGGCATGTACGACCACAGGTGATGTTTACACGATGTCAGGAGCTCTGCAGGAAATGGTTTACGGTCAAGTCGAGCTAAGTCGCCCGAAAGTCATCTCGCCCGAAACCAGAGTTATGTCGCCCGAAATGCAGAATTGTGTCGCCCGATCATGCTCAATAACACCCTAACATCTTTTCGCGCTTGTTTCGTCTTATGAAATCTTATGAAAGAGCGAGATTTATAACTGATTTATCGCGCTTGTTTCGTTTCATCAAGGTTTAACGAACGATTACTCATTTATCCCGCTTGTTTCGTCTTATCTGTCGTCCATTTATACTTCTTTTTCTGTCTCATTGTCGCTTAAAGAACGAGATATATTGCATACACTTTATCAAGATTTCGGGCGACATAACTCAGCATTTCGGGCGGCATGATAGAAAGGTGACCATTGCTTCAAAAGGTAGATCCCTCACAAATGAGAGCAATCATCGTACATGTAGCTCACATATAGCATAAGCTCAGCTGAGGGCTCTTGTCTTTGGTATGCTTAAAATTAAACTCTCTATCAGGCAGTTATTGGGGTCAAAACATGCATACCAATCGAATCTGTCTTAAAACCCAGGCTCCGGTTGTTCAAACGTTGGATAGCGCTATCCACCGGATAAATCACTATCCAGCGGATAAGTATTACGGAAATCAATACGCTATCCGCTGGATAGTGATTTATCCGGTGGATAGCGCTATCCGACGTTTGAACAACCGGGGCCAGATTGGAAGCAAATGTTACTCTCAACTTTCTTCTTTTAGATAAATCTTGTATTAGATAATTACGCCGAAACTACATTCCATGACGGTATTAAGGTTTTCTTTGCCTATCCCCGTATGGCGTCTTCCAAGGCCTTCTCGGTCATTGGCCGCGCAGAATAGTCAGGGTTAATACGAATCAGGAGTGACAGAAGTTGAATGCAAATTTGCGAACCCCCAAGAGGCAAAAATCTTGAGATTTTGAACCTAGTAGCACAGGTAACCCAGTTTCTGTGATAGAGCGGTTTTCACTTGACTGTCGAAAGGGATTAGTGTTGGTTTTGGTTTTACTACGCCCTTTGGTTGGCTAGTGTATATGGTTTTGGTTTTACGACAGTCAAGTGAAAACCGCCCTAGTACCACAGTACGGTTCCAGTAAAATTACAGTGTTTGTGTAGGGTAAAAATACGATCCTAAAATTTGTAGGAAATACTAAATAAAGGTCAATGAAAACACAACTTTTTCCACGAAATTCGAATTCCAACGGTAAACAAACATACTGGGATCGTAGCAATAGGACAGCATCAGATATAGAAACCAATGAAGCTTTCCCAGCTAGAGAAACGAATCCAGAAGACTGACAACTAGAAGGATATAATCCAAAAAAGCCTAGAGTCGTCGCGCCGAAGTGGCCTGGCCAGAACAAAGCGCGACCAAAGTCCAAATTTTCGGGCCTGGGCACTGTTTTGTGCTTGTTGTGTTTACATTCAAGATCAAAGTTTCAATGAAACTATCAGTTAACAAAAAAAAATTGACGGGTTTGTGGGCTAGGAACTGTGTTACTATTCAGCAGGTTGTAATTTTAATATTGCCTTCGGGCCCGAAAAGTTTCCAGGTCTTTCGAGAAACGGGCCCATGGGCACTGTACAATCAAATCCATCCCGACCCCTAAGTGTCCTGGGGTGACCTTTCTACTTTCCCAAAGTTAGTCTCCCCTGCTGGAAATACTCCCCCCGCGGTATGTATTGAGGTCAGTGAACAAAAAACTATTGACATGTTTTGTGAATCAGGCTCGGAAACTCTTATTTCGACACTTTTAAAAGAGAAATAACGT